CCAGATCCACAAGCATGGGCAACAGATGCTTTAAGCATATCTTGGGAAGGACTAAACGCTTACGCCTTCCCTCCTCCAGCTCTAAAACCGAAGGTGTTGCAGAAAATCAAGCAGACGAAGAAGCTGCAACTGATTTTGGTCGCGCCCTACTGGCCAGCGAAAGTGTGGTTTCCCATTCTCATACAAGAACTCGGAAATCCAACCCTGCAACTCCCAGAGTGGCCGAACCTACTAGTTCATCCGCACACCAAGCAAGCACACGGAAATCCAACAGTATTTCAGCTACACGCATGGAACGTATCACGACTTACTTGAAGAAAAGAGGATATTCCACCAGAGCAGCAAAAGCAGTCACATTAGCTCTACGTAGATCAACCCGCAACTTGTACGACGACAAGTGGCAGAGTTTTGAGAAATATGCATTGAGGAAGGGTTTCACGGCGATGAAAGCAACACATCCTCAAGTGGCGGAATTCCTTTGTCATCTAAGACAAACAAGGCGGCTCAACACTCTCTACATACCTAGCGTCCCTCAGCACAGTTATCACCATGAAGACGGGTGTGAAGCTGACCAAAGTACCAGAGATACTGGCATTACTACGCTCCCTTAAGTTGGAAGACCAACAAAAGAAGTTTTAGGGGCCTGCTTGGGATCTCAACGTGGTCTTGCAGCATCTCACCAGTGACGCTTACGAACCACTAGAAAGGACATCCTATGAGAGGTTAACTCATAAAACTCTGTTCCTGATCGCCTTGGCAACAGCAGCACAGATGTCAGAAATACATGCTCTGGACTTTGAACGAACACGATTTGACGCACATCGTGACACTGTACATCTGGGATTGAGATGGGACTTCATAGCAAAGAACCAACTGCCCTGTCAAACAGACAGACAGTTCCATATCCCAGCACTCTCGTCAATCCTAGGGCCACAGGATACTCAAGATTTATCCCTATGCCCAGTCAGAGCATTGAAAGTCTACCTACAAAGGTCGAAAACGAGGAGACGAAAATTCAAGCGCCTTTTCATCCCTCTATCTATGGAGACGCCTACAGAGGTCTCATGTACAACAATATCAATATGGATGAGAGCTGTCATATTGAGAGCCTACAAAGCAGCAGGACTTGAGCCTCCACGAGCCTCCAATCCTCATGAAGTCAGAGCACTGGCGTCGACACTCGCTCTGCATGGGAACTGCTCCATCTCAACAATAATGGAGGGCTGCTTTTGGAAATCGGAGACGGTGTTTGCCAACCACTACCTCAGAGACATGGCTACCGAGGACGTCTCCGTCATTCACCAGTTTGGGCCTCTTGTTGTAGCACAACAATTGATGGTTCCTCAAAGACGCTGAGATGAATCTCACCCTATTTATCACATGACTTGTAAAAACCAACACTCGAAAGAGTTAGAGCTTTAGAGTCCATGCGCACGTCTAGGACAGGCTAGTATGAGTGACAGACCCTGTACTTGTAAGGCCTTACTTGTACATGAAGAAGGGTCACTTCTCCACTTGCTGCGAGCATCAAGATATGGAGTTGCATAAATCCACACATAATGTCAGGAGAAGACAATTCCAGAGAAATCTGACAAGTTGTGGTCCCCCCAGACTCATCAGAGGAAGCTGGAAGAAAGGACACAGTGCCATTAGAAGTTCCCTAGGGAGGTATGCAGGACGTAAATCAGCAGTTATGAATCCAGAGTGGCTTGACTCACCATCGGTTCCGTCGGATTCTACAAGCAATTAAGCATGAGTCAGGATAAGGAAAAATATGTAATTTTCTGATTAGATTTGATATTTTATACTTATCCTGACTCATGAGGTCAGCCCTCCCAACCTCCCCTCATGTCTGTGCTATGAGCATGCTGTCGGTGTGGATTTAGCGCAATGCAAATGGACTAATTATTATTATTATTATTATGGCACTCTGGATTTCCCTGTAGATCCGGGTGTCGGGCTCATATTCGGAGAGAGTGAAGAGCATGTCTGATCATGTGACGGGTTTTGGCGGCAAAGGGAGGCTACTCGTGGGGTGAGTGATTTTACGTCCGCTTTTTTTAAGGGAGCTTCAAAAGGGGATTCAAGTGTTCCACTATAGTTCGTAAGAGGAAGGAGACAAGCAATTAAGCATGAGTCAGGATAAGTATAAAATATCAATTTTAATCAGAAAATTACATATATCACACCACACTTCTCTAAAAATATATAATGCATATCTCCCAATAATACTAACTATCAGCCCTCAGCGAAGCTACCATATGATTTATTCTCCCCAAAATGACATATTTAGTTTACAATATTTAATCAAAAAGTTCGAATTAATTAATGCACCGTTGCATCATTTCGACTCTTTTGCCCTCTACCGACCAGACATTATTTCAAGCGAACCCCATAGAGTTAGGTCCCTTGGACAACTCTTTACAAATATCCTATGCACAACTTGTGATTGAAACCACTGCGTGCGACAGTTTTTGATGTATGGAGCAATTGTTTACATTCCATATATGGCAAGTGTTCTCTGTTTGGAAGCTGTTCGTCTCGAAGTTACAATTATCAATTTAAAGCGAGTCGTAAGGGATAGAAGTCTTTTATTGCATCAATAGGAAGCTAAAATGAGTGCATATGCCCCAATATATATAATATATGCCCAAAAAATTTATTCTCGAAAATGTTTGGCATTGTGCCTTTAACATACAAGAATAATGTTACTTCTTTATGCTTATCACATGATTTATTCTGAACAATTGTCAGAATACACAAAACTTAAACCTCACACAATTTAGAATGATCAGGTAAGGTGCTGACAGCAGGATATTGAGACTAGGATTGGTTGGGCAAGCTTTCAAAATGAAAAACATAGATATTAACATACAAAAATAATCATACTATGTTGTACATTTTAAAAACCTGCCCTACCTTTCCTCTCAGACAGAACATGGCTTTTTAATTTTTTTTAAGCTGAAAAGTTAATTGAAACTTGCCCTGGGTACTGAAATTTCTATGACAAAGCACGGTTGTAGATCTGAGCAACCATGGATTTGACTATTACATGTTTCAATATGTACACATTTAGTGATGACATCAGTCAGTGTCATCCAGAAGACTAGTCACCACATCGTAGCATTAGTAAGACGTATTGGTGGCGGAGTTGTCTAAGGCGCCACAATTCATGGTGCAGAGTCATGTCTCTTAACACCAGCAACCTGTGCTGGGTTTGAATCCCAGTTTGTTGTCCTCAGTTTGTTTGTTTCTAGTGTGTCAGCACCATACCTGTGGTCTTAGGTTTCTTGAAAGTCAGATCACTTAAGGCTTTCCTCCCTCATCAAGCTGACATGCCATGCTATAACTGGAATAATGTTCAAAGCCAACTTATCCACTTTGTGAATGTTCCACTGAGTGAGTTAATCACGCTTCTGTTGCTGCAGGTAAATATAACATGGGCATCATCACCATGGTTATTATATTGTTCTGATCCTGAAAGGCCAACTTTTGCTTTTGCTTTTGAAAATGGCAATGCATGGTGCACTTTTCCTTTGCTGATGGAGGTTAATGCCTGAAGGATTTCCTTAGAACTGGATCTGATGAAGAAAATGTCCCAAGGCAACAGAATTTGTCTTAAGCTGTGAAGCTTGAAGAGGCTGATGCTATTGATTGATAATCCATCAGCTGACAGTAAGACATGGCAACTGAAGACCTTACAGACATGTTCAGTTTGTTCCTCCCGACATGATGGAATGTGGTTTACTTGGCTGATGAAGGGATCATGGTTTTGGTGATCTCTATAGATGAGACTGTGATGTCACATGAAAAACCAATATTATTGATATTCAGTTGTATTCATGAAATAACAAAGCATTTATTGATATCCAAATGATTTCTGTATAAAAACAGATCATCATCAAACCCAGTTTGTTTCCTACAATAATATTATTTCTTAACCATAATGTTAAGAGTGAAATGTCAACTGATATTGTTCATATAACCTGTATGTCCCATTTTGATCTGTGTTAGTTCTTCAATTCATGTTAAATGCCAAAGTCAGGCATTTAAATTGAAATTTCTCAGCTATGACCTGAAGTGAATGAATTTTGTGAACAAGTTAGCTTTTAGTATATGGTGGTTTATTGTTTAAGATGCCCTGCTGTAGTAGTAGGCATGCATTTACCCCAAAGAGGAAGTGACATCATGTGAACGGATGTTTAAGTTAGACTGGGGCTGGGACTTCCTGTTTCGATGTAAGCATGTGATTTCCCAAACCAGAAGAGATATGAGAAGACAGGTAGTGGGTATTACTTCCTGATTAAGTGAGGTAGATGAATGGTGGTATGTTGTAAGTGTTTGGCCATTGTGAATAACTTGTCAACTCCATTTTTTTATTTTTGGTCATTTAGATATATTACAGTAAATTATGGTTACAAGAAACACAAACTGGCCTGTGATGTTAGCACATCATAACCATAGTTCATTGTATGCAATTGGACTTAAACATACAGCGAGACCAAAAACAACCGTTTGTCGATTTGTTTAAAGCATGTTCTTTATAAATGTAGGTTACTGTACTTCTGAATTACAAGAGATTGTAACAGCACTTTTCAATGAAACATACCCACTATATCACAATAATTAAGTCATATTAATTGTTTAGATTAACATTTGTAGATTACTAGATTTTTTGCCATACTAAAAGTGTTGTTGTTGAAGTGCAAATGTAACTCCTTCAGATCTTTTGAATTGTTTTACATTGTCATCTTCATCGACTGATTTGTGACAGGAAAATATTACAAATATTACAGTTCCTTCATGGATGTGGAACATTTTATTTTACACCAGACTATGGGGAGGAGAATCCCCTCATACTCCTGTACAGAAAAGGCTGTTAAACTTTGTATGCTACCATATGAATAGATGTTCTTTTTAACAAAAAGAATGTTTAATTATCATTCATATTGAGTTGTAAACAGGTCCTGTTGTTAATGATTGTAATGTACTTGTTTCAGGGGGATGAGTTATAAACGTGAGGGACACAAGCCCCCTCGCCCTCCTCCCCCCAAAGCCAGCCTGGGCTCCAAGCTGACTTCAGGGGCAATAGGCATCAGCTTCAAGGCGCTGGAGGAGGAAGATGATGAGGATCTCACTAGCTTCACGGGAAAGTTTGATAAGGTTGTAGAGGAGGCTCACAAGTCCCAGCGCTCTAGTCATGAAAGAAGAGGGTCATCAGGGGAACCAAAGCCCATCAGGATAGGATCAACCTCCATTCAAGATGCAAAACTCACTAAACTTCACTCACACTCAAAATCCTTAGATGATGGTAACTCATCTCCTACCAAGAAGAGCTTTTTTGAATATAAAGATATCATTTCAGATATTAAACATAAGATAACTGACACCAAAGAAAAGATAACTGATTCAATAAGCAAAAGAATAGAAGAATTTTCCGGGGACTCAAGTTCCAATCCCAGCCCTGAAAATGAGCAGCCTTTTGATGATGACATGTTGGTTACAGAGAGAGAGAACATTTTGACTGACATAAGGCCAGAAAGGGCACCTGTCGTTCAAGATGCTTTGCCCAGTTCAGTGAAAGATGACTTAGTTGACCATTTCCAGGAATGTGAGGAAGACACAAGTAGTTGGAGGAAGGAGGACGAAGAAGAGGATGACATAGATGTTGTTGATGAGTACTTTGGTATGAACTCAATGGAGGAATTTAGTTCCAACCCTGGATTGAATGTGTCTGTGAGGCAGAGATCAAAACTAAAACGTTTAGTCAATAAAAACTCTAAACCTGTAACGTCAGCAACTGTCTCTATGTCAACTCTAATGGACACCAGTCCAGCGGAGGAAGAACCACAGTTTAATCTAGAAGTACGAGATGAAAATAACGAACCTGTGGTTGAGAAAACTGAGCCAGCACCAAAACCAGACCTGGAGATAGCAAGTAACCATGACAAGAAAATGCCAACCACATTGGAGGTGGTGAGGCCAACAGAGAAGACCGTCCCCATACAGAAGCTGGTAGCAGTAGCTGTGTGTGTGTTTGCTTATCTCATCATGCCCGCTCCCCTCCTATGTGTCGGGGCTGATGATGGGTGTCATGCTGGCGTCCGCTGGATGGGCCTTGTATCTCTGGTACAAACAACCACCAAAACAACATGATGATTTCAAACTCACCCCACTTGAAGATTTACCTCCCATGTATATTCCTCAGATGAGGGATCCAGTCAAAGATGATGGTATTTATAAGGTAAGATGTCATGTGGCAATGGCTGCAAATTGAAATGTTACAGGTCGTGAGTTCTTTCATTCATCTTCTTCTTTACGTTTTGTAGTGTTTGTAATGAAGTATTATAGTCAGGTGGCCCTTGTCAGAAGTGGATTGTGTAATGTCCATTGATTCATATGGGACAGGAGTATATACACCAAAGAAGCCCTTTGAACAGTCAGCTCTTCACATATGCACAGTCAGCTCTTCACATATACACAGTCAGCTCTTCACATATACACAGTCAGCTCTTCACATATACTCAGCTCTTCACATAAAAATTGTTAGCCCTTCACATATACATAGCTCTTTTCACATATACATATTCATCTATACACATTCAGTTCACATATACACATTCAGCTCTTCACATATACACAGTCAGCTCTTCACATATACACATTCACATATCTTCTTCACATATACACATTCAGCTCTCAGCTCTTCACACACATATACACATTCAGCTCTTCACATATACACATTCAGCTCTTCACATCAGCTCTTCACATATACACATTCAGCTCTTCACATATACACATTCAGCTCTTCACATATACACATTCAGCTCTTCACATATACACATTCAGCTCTTCACATATACACATTCAGCTCTTCACATATACACATTCAGCTCTTCACATATACACATTCAGCTCTTCACACATATACATATTCAGCTCTTCACATATACATATTCAGCTCTTCACATATACACATTCAGCTCTTCACATATACACATTCAGCTCTTCACATATACACATTCAGCTCTTCACATATACACATTCAGCTCTTCACATATACATATTCAGCTCTTCACATATACACATTCAGCTCTTCACATATACATATTCAGCTCATACAGTCAGCTCTTCACACACATTCAGCTCTTCACATATACACATTCAGCTCTTCACATATACACATTCAGTCAGCTCTTCACATATACACAGTCAGCTCTTCTCTTCACACAATACATTCATTCAGCTCACATTCACACTATACACTCAGCTCTTATACACAGTCAGATCTTCACATATACACATTCAGCTCTTCTAATATACATATTCAGCTCTTCACATATACACAGTAAGCTCTTCACATCTACAGTCATCTCTCCACAAATACACATTCAGCTCTTCACATATACACTCAGCTCTTTACATATACAGTCAGAACTTCATATATACACATTCAGCTCTTCACATATACACAGTCAGCTCTTCACATATACACAGTCAGCTCTTCTCATATACATATTCAGCTCTTCACATATGCACATTCAGCTCTTCACATATACACAATCAGCTCCTCACTCAACCAGACAGGATTCACACTTTTACATATTGGCCTCATCAGGATAGTGGGAATGTCACGATATGCCAAATCAGTGCACATGAATATACATGTGTATCCGTCATATAGCAATACATGTTGAGATACAGAATTTACTCTGTTTGAAATTCAACATTTCCGACGTGTCCCTGCGAGTAGGTGGTTTTGACGTTACCTATTATGCGTTTATATTTTGCATTTTGTTTTGAAAGCGTTGGTGCCGATTTAATTATTTGATTGAAAGTCTAGACTATGTCAGTCAAAGAGATCTGTCTTATGTAACTGTCAATCTTTGGAGATATGAACCTGAAAACAGTTGTCATGATAGTCTCTCAAATGTGTTCAATCTCATATGACTAATAACTCTTGTCTATTTGATCCAGGGCTGGATGAATGAACTGTTGGAATACAACTCAGATGACTACCATATCAATCAGACACACTCGGTCTACATCAGTCTGGAAGGTGCACATCTGAGACTACAGCGACCAAAGATAGGGGTGCCAAAACGTGCCATGTGGGACGAGGCATTCACACCGTCATCGTTCATACACCAGCGCCATTTCGACCTTCAGGGGAGTCGTGTGTTCCTGCTCCCCCCAGGCCTAGTGAAGAAGAGGATATGGAGCAAGAAGTACCCAATCTGTGTGGCCCTGGCTCAGACTGGTACCAAGACAACCAGTATGCCCTCTGCAGTGTCCGGATCTCCCAAACACACAACCACACCCATCAGTGATGGAGAGTTAGGATTTGAAATCATTGACGAGGAGAAATGTGACAGTGGTATTCTCTATCTGTTTGCTCGCACAGGGAGAGAAAAGGAAGACTGGTATAAACGTTTCGTGTGCATCTATGGGTAACCCTTTAGGCAATCACTTGCTAGATCTCAAAAAGGCAATTTCAAGTCAGTCTAAACATAAACGGAGCAATTCGGACACTTCTTTGAGACACAAACGACAAGGTTCTACAGATTCTGTTTCGTCCACATCTTCACTAGCGGAGACACCAGTACCACCATCCCCAAAAGAAAACCAGTCTGTGTTAGATGTGGATCTCCTGGCGTTCGCACAGTACATGGGACGCCTGATGCCCTCCGCCTCTGGTGTCTCCAGCCCAGGGAAGGAGAACAATACTTGGAGCACGATCAGTGGATCCCTCATCTGTGATAAACAACTGTTCTGGGTAAATGCAATGGTTGGTCGCATCTTCTGGGACTTCCTTCGTGACAAATGGTGGTCAGAGAAGGTGACTGAGAAGTTGCAGAGGAAACTCAGTAAGATTCATGTAAGTAGTGTCTGCCCGTTGACCGGTTGGTCCTGAGTAAGATACATGTAAGTAGTGTCTGCCCGTTGACTGGTTGGACCTGAGTAAGATTCATGTAGGCAGTGTCTGCCCATTGACTGGTTGGACCTGAGTAAGATTCATGTAGGCAGTGTCTGCCCATATTTCGATAGGACCTGAATAAGATACATGTAGGCAGTGTCTGCCCATTGACTGGTTGGACCTGAGTAAGATACATGTAGGCAGTGTCTGCCCATATTTCGATAGGACCTGAATAAGATACAAAAAATGTTTTGCTTTGTTAGCATTCTATCACATTTATCATATGAAGCGACAACCATCAGGCAAGGTTTGGTTACTTGGCTGGTTGTGGTTGTGCGATGGTGTGAGACTTGGATGGCAGGATCAACTACCGGTTTATCTTTTCTAGCAATAATAATTTATTCCAGTCACCATCATACACCTGTAATATTGATCTTTGAAGCATTATACTTCAAACTAAGAAAACTATCTGAATTCAAATATACATTGTCTTCAGGTGCCATATTTCATAGAAGAACTACAAGTGATGGATATTGATATGGGCTCAGAGATCCCAGCCATCCGACGTGCAGGAAAACCATACCTGGATGAGAAGGGCTTCTGGGTCGACCTTGACATCGCCTACAATGGAGGTTTCAAGATGACAATCGCAACAAAGGTCAACTTGATGAAACTAAAGAAAACTACACATCAGAACGTCTCACAGCGACCACTTGATAAGAGGTGAGGATTCTTAGACAGGCTGTGTTTAATCCACACTACACCTACAGGTGTGTGTGTGTGTGTGTGTGTGCAGGTGCGTGCGTGCGTGTGCATGTGCGTGTGCGCGCACAGCCTGTGTGTTTTAGTCCACACTGAATGTACAGGTGAGAGTGTGTGTGTGTATGTGTTTAGTCTACACTGCATGCAGGTGGCTGTCTGTGTGTGAATGTGTGTACACAGCCTGTGTGTTAAGTCCACACTACATGTACAGATGAGAGTGTCTGTGTGTGAATGTGTGTACAGAGCCTGTGTGTTTAGTCCACACTACACCTACAGGTGAGAGTGTCTGTGTGTGAATGTGTACACAGCCTGTGTGTTTAGTCCACACTGCATGTACAGATGAGAGTGTCTGTGTGTGAATGTGTGTACACAGCCTGTGTGTTTAGTCCACACTGCATGTACAGGTGAGCGTGTCTGTGTGTGAATGTGTACACAGCCTGTGTGTTTTAGTCCACACTGCATGTGCAGGTGAGAGTGTCTGTCTGTGAATGTGTATACACAGCCTGTGTGTTTAGTCCACACTGCATGTACAGGTGAGCGTGTCTGTGTGTGAATGTGTGTACACAGCCTGTGTGTTAAGTCCACACTACATGTACAGATGAGAGTGTCTGTGTGTGAATGTGTGTACACAGCCTGTGTGTTTAGTCCACACTACACCTACAGGTGAGAGTGTCTGTGTGTGAATGTGTGTACACAGCCTGTGTGTTAAGTCCACACTACATGTACAGATGAGAGTGTCTGTGTGTGAATGTGTGTACACAGCCTGTGTGTTAAGTCCACACTACATGTACAGATGAGAGTGTCTGTGTGTGAATGTGTGTACACAGCCTGTGTGTTAAGTCCACACTACATGTACAGGTGAGAGTGTCTGTGTGTGAATGTGTGTACACAGCCTGTGTGTTTAGTCCACACTGCATGTACAGGTAGAGTGTCTGTGTGTGAATGTGTGTACACAGCCTGTGTGTTTAGTCCACACTGCATGTACAGGTAAGAGTGTCTGTGTGTGAATGTGTGTGCACAGCCTGTGTGTTTAGTCCACACTGCATGTACAGGTAAGAGTGTCTATGTGTGAATGTGTGTACACAGCCTGTGTGTTAAGTCCACACTGCATGTACAGGTAAGAGTGTCTGTGTGTGAATGTGTGTACCCAACCTGTGTGTTTAGTTGACACTACATGTACAGGTAAGAGCGTCTGTGTGTGAATGTGTGTACACAGCCTGTGTGTTTAGTTGACACTACATGTACAGGTGAGAGTGTCTGTGTGTGAATGTGTGTACACAGCCTGTGTGTTTAGTTGACACTACATGTACAGGTGAGAGTGTCTGTGTGTGAATGTGTGTACCCAACCTGTGTGTTTAGTTGACACTACATGTACAGGTAAGAGTGTCTGTGTGTGAATGTGTGTACACAGCCTGTGTGTTTAGTCCACACTGCATGTACAGGTGAGAGTGTCTGTGTGTGAATGTGTGTACACAGCCTGTGTGTTAAGTCCACACTACATGTACAGATGAGAGTGTCTGTGTGTGAATGTGTGTACACAGCCTGTGTGTTTAGTTGACACTGCATGTACAGGTGAGAGTGTCTGTGTGTGAATGTGTGTACACAGCCTGTGTGTTTAGTTGACACTACATGTACAGGTGAGAGTGTCTGTGTGTGAATGTGTGTACACAGCCTGTGTGTTTAGTCCACACTGCATGTACAGGTGAGAGTGTCTGTGTGTGAATGTGTGTACACAGCCTGTGTGTTTAGTTGACACTAAATGTACAGGTGAGAGTGTCTGTGTGTAAATACGTGTACACAGCCTGTGTGTTTAGTTGACACTACATGTACAGATGAGCGTGTCTGTGTGTGAATGTGTGTACACAGCCTGTGTGTTTAGTTGACACTACATGTACAGGTAAGAGTGTCTGTGTGTGAATGTGTGTACACAGCCTGTGTGTTTAGTTGACACTACATGTACAGGTGAGAGTGTCTGTGTGTGAATGTGTGTACACAGCCTGTGTGTTAAGTCCACACTGCATGTACAGGTAAGAGTGTCTGTGTGTGAATGTGTACACAGCCTGTGTGTTAAGTCCACACTACATGTACAGATGAGAGTGTCTGTGTGTGAATGTGTGTACACAGCCTGTGTGTTTAGTCCACACTACACCTACAGGTGAGAGTGTCTGTGTGTGAATGTGTGTACACAGCCTGTGTGTTAAGTCCACACTACATGTACAGATGAGAGTGTCTGTGTGTGAATGTGTGTACACAGCCTGTGTGTTAAGTCCACACTACATGTACAAATGAGAGTGTCTGTGTGTGAATGTGTGTACACAGCCTGTGTGTTAAGTCCACACTACATGTACAGGTGAGAGTGTCTGTGTGTGAATGTGTGTACACAGCCTGTGTGTTTAGTCCACACTGCATGTACAGGTAGGAGTGTCTGTGTGTGAATGTGTGTACACAGCCTGTGTGTTTAGTCCACACTGCATGTACAGGTAAGAGTGTCCGTGTGTGAATGTGTGTACCCAACCTGTGTGTTTAGTTGACACTACATGTACAGGTAAGAGTGTCTATGTGTGAATGTGTGTACACAGCCTGTGTGTTAAGTCCACACTGCATGTACAGGTAAGAGTGTCCGTGTGTGAATGTGTGTACCCAACCTGTGTGTTTAGTTGACACTACATGTACAGGTAAGAGTGTCTGTGTGTGAATGTGTGTACACAGCCTGTGTGTTTAGTTGACACTACATGTACAGGTGAGAGTGTCTGTGTGTGAATGTGTGTACACAGCCTGTGTGTTTAGTCCACACTGCATGTACAGGTGAGAGTGTCTGTGTGTGAATGTGTGTACACAGCCTGTGTGTTTAGTTGACACTAAATGTACAGGTGAGAGTGTCTGTGTGTAAATGCGTGTACACAGCCTGTGTGTTTAGTTGACACTACATGTACAGATGAGCGTGTCTGTGTGTGAATGTGTGTACACAGCCTGTGTGTTTAGTTGACACTACTGTGTAAGAGTGTCTGTGTGTGAATGTGTGTACACAGCCTGTGTGTTTAGTTGACACTACATGTACAGGTAAGAGTGTCTGTGTGTGAAGTGTGACACAGCCTGTGTACAGGTGAGGTGAGAGTGTCTGTGTGTGAATGTGTGTACACAGCCTGTGTGTTAAGTCCACACTGCATGTACAGGTAAGAGTGTCTGTGTGTGAATGTGTGTACACAGCCTGTGTGTTTAGTCCACACTGCATGTACAGGTAAGAGTGTCTGTGTGTGAATGTGTACACAGCCTGTGTGTTTAGTTGACACTACATGTACAGGTGAGAGTGTATGTGTGTGAATGTGTGTACACAGCCTGTGTGTTTAGTTGACACATGTACAGGTAAGAGTGTCTGTGTGTGAATGTGTGTACCCAACCTGTGTGTTTAGTTGACACTACATGTACAGGAAAGATTGTCTGTGTGTAAATGTGTGTACACAGCCTGTGTGTTTAGTCCACACTGCATGTAAAGGTGAGCGTGTCTGTGTGTGAATGTGTGTACACAGCCTGTGTGTTTAGTTGACACTGCATGTACAGGTGAGAGTGTCTGTGTGTGAATGTGTGTACACAACCTGTGTGTTTAGTTGACACTACATGTACAGGTAAGAGTGTCTGTGTGTGAATGTGTGTACACAGCCTGTGTGTTTAGTCCACACTGCATGTACAGATGAGAGTGTCTGTGTGTGAATGTGTGTACACAGCCTGTGTGTTTAGTTGACACTACATGTACAGGTAAGAGTGTCTGTGTGTGAATGTGTGTACACAGCCTGTGTTTAGTTGACACTACATGTACAGGTGAGCGTGTCTGTGTGAATGTGTGTACACAACCTGTGTGTTTAGTTGACACTACATGTACAGGTAAGAGTGTATGTGTGTGAATGTGTGTACACAACCTGTGTGTTTAGTTGACACTGCATGTACAGGTAAGAGTGTCTGTGTGTGAATGTGTGTACACAGCCTGTGTGTTTAGTTGACACTACATGTACAGGTGAGCGTGATTGTGTGTACACATTGAAGGGTCCTTTCACTGGGAAAAGATGAAAGCAAGCAAATATGGATGGGAGACTTGGAAGTTTGGATCACATGCAAGTCATTCTGACTACTGTATGAGTGATTAGTTCTGTAATTTAAACTACCAGTATGAAGGAAGTCCCTGAATCTTCAGGAATCTGCTGGTCTCTGGGTGTCTTTAGCATTAGTTAGGGAACGCAAAAAATTTCCCTTAGAAAACGTAAACCACAACTCACTCACTCTTAATGGAAATGTTGGCAGGTCACCCATAACAGACTCTGATGAGGAGGACAGCGCGGAGTCCTCCACAGACGAAGAGGAGGAAACCCCAACCACTGATGAAAGGTTAGTAGTGTAGCAGTAGTAGAGCTGTTACTGTCAACAGCATGTGTTATGTTGATATGTGGAGCTGTTACTGTCAACAGACTTCATTATGTTGATGTGTGGAGCTGTTATTGTCGACAGACTTCATTATGTTGATGTGTGGAGCTGTTATTGTCGACAGACTTCATTATGTTGATGTGTGGAGCTGTTTCTGTTGACAGATGTCATTATGTTGATGTTGTGGATGTGTGGAGCTGTTACTGTCCACAGACTTCATTATGTTGATGTGTGGAGCTGTTACTGTCAACAGACTTTTTTATGTCGATGTTGTGAATAGTTGGATCAATGGATGCTAACACTGACACCATCCCTTGTTTCAGTGCAGCATCAGGTGGCACCACCAGCAAGAAGTTCCTGCGATATCTGGACAAGATCACTCAGAGTAAATATTTCCAGCAGGCCACTGAGTATAAATATATCAAGCGGGCCATGGAGGGGGTGTCCAACACTCCTCTCATCCTCACAGTGGAAGTCAAGACCCTGGTTGGAACCATGGCCCTCAACATTCCGCCCCCACCTACAGACAGATTCTGGTACGAACACAACACATTTTATCAATTTTTATTGCTTGAAATTTAGCAAAGGGTCATTACCTGTATGCTAAAGGTTAAACAGTGAGGATGTCCCTGGAATCAAACACAGAAGGATTATCGTGCAGTCACCCTTGTAGGCACACAAGGGTCTGAGACTGATACCACTCGCCAGAAACTGCCAGATGTGTCTATATGACTGAGAACCTGTCTATTTATTTCAACACTTGGATGTTATAGATTTGCAGTGACACTCTTGTAATCATTTCATATGGTATTGTTAAGGATTATTGTGTTGAGTTCTAATTTATGAGGTTTTGAGGAAGTGTTTTTTGTTGTATTAAATATATTGAAAATAATTATACCCATGCTTTATAAATACAGTGCAACCGTATAGTGAAACATTCATCTTGTTAGTTGCAGTTACAAACATTTATTCATGCATCACCACTCATGTTTAAGGTATGGTTTCCGTGGCAACCCTAGATTATGGCTGTCAGCTAAGCCGAAAGTTGGTGAGCGTGAGGTAACATTCAACTATATCACAGAATGGATAGAGAAGAAGCTGTCGGTTGAGTTTCAGGTGAGACAATTGTAGTGGGATACTTACTTGCTGGTTGATGTATGGAAGCTCTCCTTCTAGGAAAAATGGGGTGGTGGAATAGCCTAATGGATAAAGCGTTTGCTTCCCCACATGGGTACTGCGTTCGAATTAATTGCTGGCCCAGAGGCTCTGCGCCCGGTTGTTATTGTATCGGGCCGGCAGTTTCAGATATTTGCAGGCTCTTGTGGCCTTCAGTAAATTATCTGTCCATTATTTTTTTTCAACTGGAATCTTTCCCATAATTTGTTTTCTTTATTAACATTCGGGAATGATCCATGATCCATCATGTTACGAATACCAGACAGTTTCACGTTCAGGTATTTCAGCACTTTGTGCATAGGAATGTCAACACCAGTCTTTAACAAATATAACCTTCTCTCTGCACCATAGGCTTCGCTAACTGATTTTGTAGAAACTGTGTGAAACTGTGTACAGTGTAGTCTATTTTGTTTTTATTGGTTTGATTTCAACAAAATAGGCCTGCAGATTTCATTCAGGGCCTGCAGATTTTAAAGCCCTCACTCACTCTGGGAAAAATACTTTGATTCAGAAAGAAGGGTGTATTGATTGTTAAATATAAAGAACCACAGGGTCTACTAGTTACAATATGAAACTGATTGGGAAACTAACACTCCTTAGTGACTTGTCATGGATCCACGAAAATATTAAATTATTGAGACAGAAACTAGAGATCTACTGAGATTGGCTTCAGTGTGTGTGGTTAGCTACTCCGTGGTGATCACCTACGGTCAATTTCGTTTCAGATTGTAATTTATTGATTACTTTCCTGTGCTTAAGTCATATTAATACAGAAATGTGAGTTAGAAATGTTTTGAAACAACTATGGTATTTGACAAGTTTGAGCGCAGCAATCTGTTTCCTGCACCATTTTAGGAATGAACCAATGCATGATGTCTATTCTCATAGTGAATTCGTGGTGAATTCATACATAACACAACAGTCACGTGTGATGGTATTCAGATTACTGCTAACTACTTATACCTAATTTGACCCTCCACATAATATGCAAACTAAATAAGATCAAAAATCACTATTAAGCACCCTAAAAACATACCACAGATATAGATAAATTTGTTTTGGACACACCCATGAAGATTTGGGTTAGAATTGGTCTTCAGCAGTGTGCGGGGGCGGTAGGGTAGCCTGGTGGTTAAAGCGTTGGCTCGTCACGCCGAAGGCCCGGATTCGAATCCCCACATGGGCACAATGTGTGAAGCCCATTTCTGGTGTCCCCCGCCGTGATGTTGCTGGAATATTGCTAAAAGCGGCGTAAAGCCATACTCACTCACTCACTCACTCAGCAGTGTGCGAAATAGTTTCCAAATTTTGCTAACCAGACCGGCTAGCCATGCCTGAAAGTTACTAGCCCACAAAATTATTCCCTGGCCACGGGTTTCATCATTAAGCTGCTAAATATGATGAATTTTTGATCAGACCATAATCTTGCATGATTTAAAAGTGTATTATATTTATTACTTAACACGCAGGAGAGAGTGATATAGATGTATTTACAAAATGACCCATGAAAATTCACTAGCCATTTGGGCCATTGACTGTGGAGATTTACTGGCCCGACTGGATTTTTACTAGCCCGTGGCTATTTCGAACACTGGTCTTCAGCAACCCATGCTTGTGATAAGAGTCAACTAACTGGATCAGGGTTGTCAGGCTCGCTGACTTGTTTGGCACATGTCATCGTATCCCAATTGCATAGATTGATGCACATGCTGTTCATCACTGGATTGTCTGGTCCAAACTTGATTATAGTTGGAATATTGCTGAGTGCGGCGTTAAACAACAAACAAACAAATGTTTTGACACAGTGCATAAAATAAATGTTATGTGACAGACTTTTGTGTGGTATTCTCTATGCCCTGTGTTCTCCATTTCTACTGATTTTAGAGTGAAAACAATATGGTTGTACATCGTTGTCATATTTTGTCATGCATCTACTGAAGAGAAGTTGAGAAGTTCCTAATGCTGAAATTTGTTTGGATTGATACATGTACACCAGTCTAAAACTAAGAGGAGGAATTGTATTTGTTTCAGCGTGTGTTTGTTATGCCCAACATGGATGACCTGGTTATCCCAATCCTTCTCCCCCGGCATCCTCCCTGAAGCCATTCCTGTTGCCACGCCGTCCGCCACCACCTCGGTCTGACACTGACAACAAAGCACTCTGCAACAGGGCACCCAGATCTTCATACAGACAACAAAGCACTCAGCAGCAGGGCACTCTGATGTGCCCACAGCATACAAAGCACTCTACAGCAGGGTACTCTGATGTGCCTACAGCATACAAAGCACTCTACAGCAGGGTACTCTGATGTGCCCACAGCAGACAAAACACTGAAACGGGGCATCCAGATCCTGCCCACAGCCAACAAAGCACTCGGGTACCCTGTTCTTCCCAAAGCAAACACCGTAAATTGTAGCCAAAATAGCAATCAGTTCATCACCCAGTGAGTTGCACCCAATTACATCAGAGCCAAGCTGCAGGATAGCCTGTCTTTGCTGCACTGCTTGACACACAGCTCTCCTATAGATGCCAGAATAGCCTGCTCTGCACTTGAACCTTTCCCCTGAGACTGCACCTTTCTATGTGCAAATGTGTACTGATACAAAGCTGTCCAGCATTATCAGATATTGTCCCTGACATGATGCATAGCAAGCCTCTTCAGTGCTCCACAAAGGAACCAGTCATCAGAACCATCTCCTGTCACGTTCCCACCTGCATAATTAGTCCTTGTTTATAATGCCTTGTACTATTAATGTATCTTAGCTTCAGTTGTGATAGTGATACCTATCGCGGTAGTAGATTCTTGCATGCTACAGTGATGTTTCTGTGACAATCAGACTGTATGTGTATGTGACAGTAACAAGACTTGCTACAGTGATGTTTGTGTGACGGTCAGACTGTATGATGCTGTAGATGATAGTAACATGACACACTACAGTGATGTTTGTGTGACGGTCAGACTGTATGATGCTGTAGACGAGAGTAACACGACACGCTACAGTGATGTTTGTGTGACGGTCAGTCTGTATGATGCTGTAGACGAGAGTAACATGACACGCTACAGTGAGATGTTTGAGTGACGGTCAGACTGTATGATGCTGTAGATGATAGTAACATGACACGCTACAGTGAGATGTTTGTGTGACGGTCAGACTGTATGATGCCGTAGACGATAGTAACAAGGCAGGCTACAGTGATGTTTGTGTGACAGTCAGACTGTATGATGCTGTAGACGATAGTAACACGACACGCTACAGTGATGTTTGTGTGACGGTCAGACTGTATGATGCTGTAGACGATAGTAACAAGGCACGCTACAGTGATGTTTGTGTGGTCAGTCAGACTGTAACCGATGCTGTAGACGATGTGTAACACGACATGATGCTGTACAGTAACCGACCGTGATGTTTGTGTGACGGTCAGACTGTATGATGCTGTAGATGATAGTAACACGACACGCTACAGTGATGTTTGTGTGACGGTCAGACTGTATGATGCTGTAGATGATAGCTACAGTGATGTTTGTGTGACAGTCAGACTGTATGATGCTGTAGACGATAGTAACAAGGCACGCTACGGTGATGTTTGTGTGACGGTCAGACTGTATGATGCTGTAGACAATAGTAACAAAGCACGCTACAGTGATGTTTGTGTGACAGTCAGACTGTATGATGCTGTAGACGATAGTAACAAAGCACGCTACAGTGATGTTTGTGTGACGGTCAGACTGTATGATGCTGTAGACAATAGTAACACGGCATGCTACAGTGAGATGTTTGAGTGACGGTCAGACTGTATGATGCTGTAGACAATAGTAACAAGGCACGCTACAGTGATGTTTGTGTGACGGTCAGACTGTATGATGCTGTAGACGATAGTAACACGACACGCTACAGTGAGATGTTTGTGTAGTGACTCAGACTGTATGATGCTGTAGATGATAGTAACAATGTTTGTGTGGACGGTCAGACTGTATGATGCTGTAGGCGAGTAACACGACCGCGATGATGTTTGTGTGACGGTCAGACTGTATGATGCTGTAGATGATAGTAACATGACACGCTACAGTGATGTTTGTGTGACGGTCAGACTGTATGATGCTGTAGACGATAGTAACACGACACGCTACAGTGATGTTTGTGTGACGGTCAGACTGTATGATGCTGTAGACGATAGTAAGAAAGCACGCTACAGTGATGTTTGTGTGACGATCGGTCTGTATGATGCTGTAGACGAGAGTAACACGACACGCTACAGTGATGTTTGTGTGACGGTCAGACTGTATGATGCTGTAGATGATAGTAACATGACACGCTTCAGTGATGTTTGTGTGACGGTCAGACTGTATGATGCTGTAGACGATAGTAACAAAGCACGCTACAGTGATGTTTGTGTGACGGTCAGACTGTATGATGCTGTAGACGAGAGTAACAAAGCATGCTACAGTGATGTTTGTGTGACGATCGGTCTGTATGATGCTGTAGACGAGAGTAACACGACACGCTACAGTGATGTTTGTGTGACGGTCAGACTGTATGATGCTGTAGACGAGAGTAACATGACACGCTACAGTGAGATGTTTGTGTGACGATCAGTCTGGATCGTACTCTTGAAAATGGGAGCAGTGTATGCCCCGCCTAAGTCTACTGAAACATGAGGTAGTTTGTTCATATACTGAGGGGAAAAAATAAGCGATACAAAGCTTGTGAAGAAACCTTGGAAAAATATAAAGGAACACTTGTGCTTTCATGTGATCCCTTATTTTTTTTCCCTCAGTACATGTGTACTAGTGTAGCAGGGAAGGTGTACTGGTGTAGCAGGGAAGGTGTACTGGTGTACAGAAAAGACAGACACTGGAATTGCTGAGTACTCTACTTGCAGGGATATTGTCAGTTGTTGCAGATTATTTATTTTCGCAATTATTTATTGACATGTTGCATATGTTTTTGTATTATATAACGTGTATATTTTAGCAGTCTAATGTGCCAAGGAAGGTACGCTTTTGTTGAATGCAGAATAGCATGTATGATGCTGTACTTCATTAAACTTCTTTGAGTCGCGTTTTAGAAGATGGGAAGTGCAGGAATGACAAATTTTATGGATAACAACTTCTTTTATTTCATGAGTGCAACATTTCGATATAGATTGTCATTATTTTACTTCATTATACCTTGAAAAGTGTTTTAACTGATGAAATAATTGAATGGATGTTTTAAGTTATGATGAGAATGATGTTTTGCAGTTGTAAACATTTGGGCTATGTAGCTAGTCTGACTACTGGTGTGTTGGTCCGGACATGAGAGCCTTATGGTAACTGTACTCACACAGGGCAGTGGGCCAGTGTGTAGCCAACACTGGAACAATCTGTTCTTCAGATAGGTCAATGCTTGTCTTGTTGAAACACAAGAAACGTTGGCATCTAACATTTTGAACTGAACAGCTGTCACAGTAGCTTTCAATGAAATACAAGTTCCTGATCACAGATTTACACAATCATATTTTGCCAAACATTTTATTTTTGTAATATTACATGAAATATGGTATTTTATGATGTTTGTAAAATAGTTTTAATTGAAATTTTTTAGTACAATTCTATGGTTCTACCTGTCATTACTGACATAAGATAAGGTGGCTTTGGTTCTGTGAATCTTGAATGTAACTGTTGTCCAGAAAGTGTGTCCCAGGAGTCCTTAGAAGCATGGCTGTGGGCTGGAGGACACTGGGGACCACCACAGAATGACAGCTGTTGTCTGAGACTGTCCATGAAGCACTGACACACCACCAGCTGAATGCTGTAGGCAGGACGCTGTAAATTAAGGCTGTCAGTAAGGTGTAGAACACCATTAACTCACCAACTGATCTTGTATCGGAAATACAATCAAAATATGGTATTTTATATATATGTTAGCTATGTCCTTCCCATGCTGCTCTAAAATAGAAAGAAACACGGCATCTTGTGGCAAGTGAGCATTGTGTCCAGGCAATGGGAATCTGAAGTGTTGTCATCTCTCAACGTCATGCACTGTTAATTTTGCACCAGCAGTCTTGTAGTGTTATACATCTGTTATATATAGTAATACAGAGGAGATGTGGTGGTATTTTTATATGACTGTCATTAGAGTGTCACTCAGAATAACATCATGGTTTAACACTGTCCTGCATACAGGAGTGAACTTCATGTGATTTATACCCTTTATTTGGCTCTGTCGTAAAGCTTTGCACCTGGATGTATGCAGAGAAAATTGATTATAGGAAGCGTTGTACATGTGGCAGACGTTCCACTGCAAAAAGCAGTTGGCAACAAGTATAAACTGTATTTTGTATGGACTGAAATGCATGATGGATTCTTTAGTATTTGAAGCCTTTGCCTCATTCAACTCAGATCCTTTGATCCGATATGATACCTCTCTGTATAGATCTGACACCCCTCTAGAAAGTGACATCAGGTGACCTTGAGGTAGTCCACTTAGGGAATCCATTTAAGGTTGATGCTTCAGTTTCAGAAAGTTTCAGGGGCGGTGGGGTAGCCTAATGGTTAAAGCGTTGGCTCGTCACGCCGAAGACCCGGGTTCGAATCCCCACATGGGTACAATGTGTGAAGCCCATTTCTGGTGTCCCCCGCCGTGATGTTGCTGGAATATTGCTAAAAGCGGCGTAAAACCAAACTCAGTCAGTCAGTCAGAAAGTTTCAGAAACAAACAGAAAACAAACAGTTCTGAATGTAAATAATAAAGGCCATGCCATTAACATCTTGCATAAGAATCCACAAGATTCAAGTCCTCTTCAGGTCTTGCATAGAGGGGCTGTCAGATGTTCAGAACGATGTCATATTGGAGTTAAGCATGTTTATGAGATTGTGTTTCCTAAGCCTTGTTCTCCCAGGTAAGATGTGCATCGCGTGTCATAATATTGACTATATGTATAGGTGCCCATGCTTGTCTTCCTGTGCTTTAATCAAACTGTTAGCACTCCTGACTGGAACAATAAGCTTGCAGGAAAGTTATGCAAGCTTGAAACACAGACATGCCAAAAACTTAAATAGCATGGAACTATTATTCTTGATTTTAACAGTAGATATATCTACAGTATTGTCACTTTGTGCTTTCCCTGTGCACCTGTAAGGTAGGTATACAGAGTGGTACGAAGAAAATGGGTGTTTTCGTGAGCTTTCCAGTGTGTTGACAGTTATGTCCCTTAACTTTAATTTGCTTAAACCATTTGAACATAATTCTTGGTTAGATGCATCATAATAGAAGTGTAGAAGACAGCTGTGTTCAGTCATCGATTCCCCTTGCTTTGTGACTCAGTATGGTGCATGCATCATAGATGTTGACAGCAGTAACCTGTATGTTTCTGCCACATGGATAGGAACTGTGAGGGTCAATTGTTAAATTGCTACTGTATTAATTACTGAGTTTTGAAATGGCTCTTGTGGGAATTCCTTTTGAAGGAAAACCAAAATCAATTAACAAAAATATATTTTATTTGATCTTAATGTCTGTTCATGAAAACCATAAATGTTTCATCATAATATGAGGTGTTTGTGTAGAACTTTCAGTCATGAGGATATCATTTTGATAATTTCTGTCTCATGTCAGGTGAGCTACTGCTTTGTGTTTTATCGAAAGGTTCTGATGTTTTTTCTGTGTTCAGATGGTGATGTGGGTATCAGCTGTTGCAATCTGAGCATGCTCGCATAAGATGTCAGTTATTAGTGTACTAGGACACTGTCCACAAAAGCCGACTTAGTGCTAAGGTGATCCTAACTCCCATACTATAGAGATTTGTGACAATCATAGCGCTAAGATCACTTTGTTGAACAGTCTGCTGGTGTCATTTTGAATTCAAGTCTTCTCTAGAAAAAGCTGTCAGAATTGATGGTGGTGATTTAAAAGTTTAGTAAATGATTATCCTACTTTTGTTGCATTTGATCCTGTTCTAACCTGGAGTCATTATAAGAATTTGATGGTTTTATAAAACCTCCACTGCTCAGAACTGAAATCCTGGAGCATTGTCAGTTTAGGTATTCTATCTGATGGTTGTTTTATTCATCACATATCTATTTTCTTGTAATTTTACCATGTAGATGTATGTATTTTTATTTGAAGATGGATTGTTTGTAGTACTTATTTGTTGGTATGTATATATGTGTTGAAGATTGTTGAAGTTTATATTCCTGTGTGTTGAAGCATGTATCTTGGAATCAAGTAGTATATTGATGTGCAATGTGTCCACGATCTGTATGCAAGAACTGGCCAAAACTTCGTTCTAGTTGTGTATATCAGCTGCCCCTTTTCAGTGTATATCAGCTGCGCCTTTTTTTTATATGTATATGAGATGCCCACTTTTCCGTTTATATCAGCTGCCCCTTTTCTGTGTGTATCAGCTGCCCCCTTTTGTCTGTTTAGAAATACTGGGAAATCAGTGGCAGGGTTATTTATCTTTAAGGTCCCATGGGAATGTTTCACAAGAAGATCATGGTGCTACTATTGTAACTCCCATCCCACAAATAGTATTATATAACAGGGACCTGATCCTCCAGCGAACTGTCCCAACAGACCTGATCCTCCAGCAAACTGTCCCTACAGACCTGATCCTCCAGCAAACTGTCCCGACAGACCTGATCCTCCAGCAAACTGTCCCGACAGACCTGATCCTCCAGCAAACTGTCCCGACAGACCTGATCCTCCAGCAAACTGTCCCAACAGACGTGATCCTCCAGCAAACTCTCCCGACAGACCTGATCCTTCAGCAAACTGTCCCGACAGACCTGATCTTTCAGCAAACTGTCCCGACAGACCTGATCCTCCAGTAAACTCTCCCGACAGACCTGATCCTCCAGCAAACTCTCCCGATAGACCTGATCCTTCAGCAAACTCTCCCGACAGACCTGATCCTCCAGCAAACTGTCCCAACAGACCTGATCCTCCAGCAAACTGTCCCGACAGACCTGATCTACAGCAAACTGTCCCGACAGACCTGATCCTCCAGCAAACTGTCCCGGCAAACCTGATCCTCCAGCAAACTGTCCCGACAGACCTGATCCTCCAGCAAACTCTCCCGACAGACCTGATCCTCCAGCAAACTCTCCTGACAGACCTGATCCTCCAGCAAACTCTCCCGACAGAATTGATCCTCCAGCAAACTGTCCCAACAGACCTGATCCTCAAGCAAACTCTCCCGACAGACCTGATTTACAGCAAACTGTCCCGACAGACGTGATCCTCCAGCAAACTGTCCCGACAGACCTGATCCTCCAGCAAACTCTCCCGACAGACCTGATCCTCCAGCAAACTGTCCCGACAGACCTGATCCTTCAGCAAACTGTCCCGACAGACCTGATTTACAGCAAACTGTCCCGACAGACCTGATCCTCCAGCAAACTCTCCCGACAGAATTGATCCTCCAGCAAACTCTCCAGACAGACCTGATCCTCCAGCAAACTCTCCCGACAGACCTGATCCTCCAGCAAACTGTCCCGACAGACCTGATCTCAGCAAACTGTCCCGACAGACCTGATCCTCCAGCAAACTCTCCCGACAGACCTGATCCTCCAGCAAACTCTCCCGACAGACCTGATCCTCCAGCAAACTCTCCCGACAGACCTGATCCTCCAGCAAACTGTCCCGACAGACCTGATCCTCCAGCAAACTGTCCCGACAGACCTGATCCTCCAGCAAACTCTCCCGACAGACCTGATCCTCCAGCAAACTCTCCCGACAGACCTGATCCTCCAGCAAACTCTCCCGACAGACCTGATCCTCCACAGCAAATCTCCAGCAAACTCCCCGACAGACCTGATCCTCCAGCAAACTGTCCCGACAGACCTGATCCTCCAGCAAACTCTCCCGACAGACCTGATCCTCCAGCAAACTCTCCCGACAGACCTGATCCTCCAGCAAACTGTCCCCGACAGACCTGATCCTCCAGCAAACTCTCCCGACAGACCTGATCCTCCCGACAGACCTGATCCTCCAGCAAACTCTCCGACAGACCTGATCCTCCAGCAAACTGTCCCGACAGACCTGATCCTCCAGCAAACTGTCCCCGACAGACCTGATCCTCCAGCAAACTGTCCCGACAGACCTGATCCTCCAGCAAACTGTCCCGACAGACCTGATCCTCCAGCAAACTCTCCCGACAGACCTGATCCTCCAGCAAACTCTCCCGACAGACCTGATCCTCCAGCAAACTGTCCCGACAGACCTGATCCTCCAGCAAACTCTCCCGACAGACCTGATCCTCCAGCAAACTCTCCCGACAGACCTGATCCTCCCGACAGACCTGATCCTTCAGCAAACTGTCCCGACAGACCTGATCCTCCAGCAAACTGTCCCGACAGACCTGATCCTCCAGCAAACTGTCCCGACAGACCTGATCCTCCAGCAAACTGTCCCGACAGACCTGATCCTCCAGCAAACTCTCCCGACAGACCTGATCCTCCAGCAAACTCTCCCGACAGACCTGATCCTCCAGCAAACTGTCCGACAGACCTGATCCTCCAGCAAACTCTCCCGACACCTCCAGCAAACTCCAGACCCTGATCCTCAGCAAACTCTCCCGACAGACCTGATCCTCCAGCAAACTCTCCCGACAGACCTGATCCTCCAGCAAACTCTCCCGACAGAGCTGATCCTCCAGCAAACTCTCCCGACAGACCTGATCCTCCAGCAAACTGTCCCGACAGACCTGATCCTCCAGCCAACTCTCCCGACAGACCTGATCCTCCAGCAAACTCTCCCGACAGACCTGATCCTCCAGCAAACTCCCGACAGACCTGATCCTCCAGCAAACTCTCCCGACAGACCTGATCCTCCAGCAAACTCTCCCGAAAGAGCTGATCCTCCAGCAAACTCTCCCGGCAGACCTGATCCTCCAGCAAACTGTCCCGACAGACCCGATCCTCCAGCAAACTCTCCCCTACAGATCCTCCAGCAAACTGTCCCGACAGACCCGATCCTCCAGCAAACTCTCCGACTGACTGATCCTCCAGCAAACTCTCCCAGCAGAAAGACCTGATCCTCCAGCAAACTCTCCCGACAGACCTCCAGCAAACTCTGATCCTCCAGCAAACTCTCCCGACAGACCTGATCCTCCAGCAAACTGTCCCGACACACCTGATCCTCCAGCAAACTGTCCCAACAGACCTGATCCTTCAGCAAACTGTCCCGACAGACGTGATCTACAGCAAACTGTCCCGACAGACCTGATCCTTCAGCAAACTGTCCCGACAGACCTGATCCTTCAGCAAACTGTCCCGACAGACCTGATCCTCCAGCCAACTCTCCCGACAGAATTGATCCTCCAGCAAACTCTCCCGACAGACCTGATCCTCCAGCAAACTCTCCCGACAGACCTTATCGTCCAGCAAACTCTTCCGACAGACCTGATCCTTCAGCAAACTCTCCTGACAGACGTGATCCTCCAGCAAACTGTCCCGACAGACCTGATCCTTCAGCAAAATGTCCCGACAGACCCGATCCTCCAGCAAACTATCCCCACAGACCTGATCCTCCAGCAAACTGTCCCGACAGACCTGATCCTCCAGCAATCTCTCCCGACAGACCTGATCCTCCAGCAATCTCTCCCGACAGACCTGATCCTCCAGCAAACTGTCCCGACAGACCCGATCCTCCAGCAAACTATCCCGACAGACCTGATCCTCCAGCAAACTCTCCCGACAGACTTGATCCTCCAGCAAACTCTCCCGACAGAATTGATCCTCCAGCAAACTCTCCCGACAGACCTGATCCTCCAGCAAACTATCCCGACAGACCTGATCTTTCAGCAAACTGTCCCGACAGACCTGATCCTCCAGCAATCTCTCCCGACAGACCTGATCCTCCAGCAAACTGTCCCGACAGACCTGATCCTCCAGCAAACTCTCCCGACAGAATTGATCCTCCAGCAAACTCTCCCGACAGAATTGATCCTCCAGCAAACTGACCCGACAGACCTGATTTACAGCAAACTGTCCCGACAGACCTGATCTTTCAGCAAACTGTCGAAACAGACCTTATCCCTATGGACTATAGGACTCTCCAGATCCTCCAGGAGACTGTCCCTTAAGACCATATGATTCACCCCATCCTCCAGCAGACTGTCCCGACAGATTTGATCCTCCAGTAAACAGTCAAAACAGACCTGATCCTCAAACAGACTGTCCCTGAAGATGATAGAACCCTCCAGATCCAACAGTTGACTGCCCTTACAGATCTGATCCTCCTGGAGACTGTCCCTTAAGATCATATGATTCACCCCATCCTCCAGCAGATTGTCCCTACAGAGTATCGGACTCTCCTGATCCACCTGTAGACTGTCCCTACATACTATGGGACTCTCCTGATCCTCCTGTCATACAAGACGTTATCAAGGGGTAGCCCAGTGCAGACGTTCCTGGTCTAGGCTTCAGGTGCAACCACCATGGGTTTTTATACAGGGAGAGAATGACATGAGATTAGGCTAGAGTGTTAGAAGTTAGCATGCAGCAGTCACTTGTTGACAGACTTGTTAGGACACTGAAAAGTCTCTTATGTCCCTTGAGGAGAAACAAAATGACTTGGGCTAGTCGGCGACTTGTAATTTGTATACCTGAAGTGTTCAGTGGTCTACTTCAGGCCTTTCAGGAAAAGGAAACGAAATGACAGACAGGTGAGATAGGATTTACAGTATCAATACGAAGAGACTGTTTTGATTATTGTGATTTCTGCATTGTTTGTCAAAGATTGCTCGCCATCTGTACTAACATTGAAACATGAATACATAAAGTATGTACAACAAACCAAGTGTGTTTAGTTTCAATACAGTGTATGTACCCTATTTTTAGACAACTACTTTTACGAAGTAGAAGCAATTCATTACCGTTGAGCGGTCTGTCAGTGAGATTCATTCCAAGTCTTGCCTTTCTTACAATTACTGCTTGGATCATCAAGCTGTATAAATAGGGGCATAACTACATATCTTTGATTTGTAAATATAGATGACCAGGTCTTTGAATGGAATTTAGAAGTGATACACATAAGGAAGGGAATTTTATGGATGTCAACTTCTTTATTATGAGGAACACAATGTTTCAGAATAAACTTACTCCTTCATCAGATGATGAATGAGTAAGTAAGTACATACTCACATACATGTTCCTCATAATAAAGAAGTTGACATCCCTATAATTCCCTCAATATACCCACCATATAGATGGAATATTGCTCAATATACATGATGATTCTTATCTTCCTGATAAACAGAGTTTCTTTATGTCGCAACCGACATTATAAGTCAGAACATGTTCATTTGTTCTTGTTCACTGACGTGAGTGAGACATATCATCATTCCCAGTTGCTTGGGTTGATGCTCTAGACATGAATTATGGGGTTGTCTGGTCCAGACTTGATTATTGAATGTCTTCCATCATAAAGCCGGAATATTGATGTGTGGCATTAAGGAACTATCAGAGCTCCAGATAAGCTGCGTATTTGTGTATACTACGCTATAGAAAAGTTGAAATACGCAAGAAAAATAAATGCCAGCGTATGAAAAACACTAAATATTTACGTTTACGCTATGTTAAAATAAGAATGAGTATTTACCCAATACATCAAAATTATGTTGGTATCGTATCAATTCAAGACAATTGAAACAAACTTTTCCATCTCCAAATATTCGCGATTAAAATATTCTTGAAAATTCTAAACGCAATTAAGATGCTCAATGCAGATAGAATACCAGTCATTGTTTGTTAACCCTTCACTGGTTGGTCAATCTATAAATAGCGACTAGTCAATTAGCTGTTTCCTCCGTACATGTCCTGTAAACAAAGCAAGCATGGTCAAAAGCTTCCATACGCTCAAAGTAAAATATCTAGGGTTCTTTACGCTACAAACATAAAACAACTTCATTAGAGGACTGCTGGATGAACTTATATTATGCTGTTTCTAAATCATAATCAATTCCCGGTGATATCTTAAATGAACTTGTAACATTAGCTGTTCTCGGCGAGGTAGTGAAAAAACTCGATGGGAACAAGGTTTTGAGAAAAAACAGCAATTGCTACGTGGAAAAGAAAATATCCATGGTTAATTTTGAATAAAAAAAGGTCATATGAGGTCATGTTGTAGTGTGTGTCAGGCACACCTCTTACACTTGTTATTTGAAATGAATACCCGGATCTTGAAATCGGAAATACCCCCTTAGTTTAAAAAGTATGGGTATCATACCCACATGGCCAAAGGCTTATCTGGAGCTCTGAACAATTAAGCAAATTCATTTATTGTCATCTTCAGCTGATTGCAAGAGCTTTCTATGTGTAATGCCCATCGTGTTTGCAGTCAGCTGCTGTGCCACTTGGGGACATGTTAAACGTCACCATGTCAGTTATAACTAACATATTCATAGGTTTGCCAAGGCAAAAATACTCAGAATGCTATCACAATCCTTTTCCAATAATGATACTCTATTGAATTACCAATAATTTTGTCCAGTATCACAACCTTATTGCACTAGTAAGAGTACCTCCTCTTCTTTCCCCATACTGGCCGAAATGTGTCTGCCCTCTTTAAACACTATGCTGAAGGATCAACGGTTAATGACAGAGTTTTGTTGCAAAGTTAGCTATGATTTGTGAGGTGTTTACTCTAGTCAGTGTAGCACATCCTCGATTAACCCATTGTGATCAAGTAGCTGAAGGCAGCTGCACTCACAGGGCACCAAGGTTGGATGTACAATGACATTTGACTGTTTCAACAGGACTTCAAATTAAACTGCAATGCGAAGATACCAGTAAAAAGCAAATGATCAAATGTGTGGTAGTGGGAGTATGTATTACATCACAGAATAAACCAAGAGGCTAATAGTGAGGTGTTTCTCAGTGTTCACAAATGTTTGACCTAGAACTGGCAAAATCATTGTATTGGCAGTAACCTTATAGCAAAGAAATCTTACTTATTTGTTGTCCTCAACTGTCAAATTATAGGTTTATGTTTGTAATATTTGGTGTTCAGAAATTGGTGGTAAATACTGATTGAAACACTCGTAATATGTACAGATATCGTCTGTTGAATATTTGGTGTTCAGAAATTGGTGGTAAATACTGATTGAAACACTCATAATATGTACAGATATCGTCTGTTGATGGAACCTCGCCACTATTGGCTGGAAAATTGTTGATGCGGCATAAGGCAATATTCATTCATTCATTCATTCATTCATTATTGATGGAATAGCATCTTTTTTGCAAGTATGGTGTGTGTATTGCTAAATGTGATCTAATCCAGTGAATGGCTCATGTCTTCATGATGCAAAAAAACTTCAGTTCTTTCAACTCCCATATAAAACTGTTTCAGTCTGCTGTCATATAAACACCAAAGCTTGTTTTCTATAGATATTAATAATACATAAAAAGCCCAAAAAATAGATATTCTTTACTATATACATGTATTACTGAAATATTTACTGTATATTTCCAGAAGAAATGTGATATAGCTTTTGTGGTATTGGCAAGTTCAGACTGGATCTAACTTTCACTAAATTGGAATTCTTTAGCACCTTGGACCTGTGTCAATGCAGACTTTCTTCAAACAATAAACTAACAGTGATACAAATGAGGCATTAAACACATTATGATTCTAGCTTGGTGTTTACAGAGAGTATTTGTCCTGCCCAACATGGATGATGCCATGGTTCCCTTCTTTCCTGCGATTGTTCTGGGCCCTGGATGAAACTCTCCATTGATGTTGGGGATAAAGGTATCACCCACCACTAGGTCAAGAACCAGGTTTACAGACAATATGCTTACAATTAAACTAATTATTTTCAAAATAACCTATGAATTGTGATTTCTTCCAAGTTAGTCAACTTTCTTACTTATATGGGGCATCTGTATTGGATTTGAAGATCATGCTTGGTGTCTTGGCAGATCGCATGTCATCAGACCCAAAACATGTTCTCATAATTCAGAAACTGTGACAACCAGTTTCGGAATTTGGCTGTAATATTGCCGACTGCACCATTTAACATTTCACTCCTTGCAGTTATAGATAGGTTGTTGACAGTCTCAATTCCAACAAGGATCCATGTGTATATGTAATGACTAGACTCTCCATAATGATAGCTTTGAAAAAAACTGATGATAAAATGTCAACTTTGAATGATTGCTTTGTGCTAATGAATATGATCGAGATCTAACCAAGCATGTGTTTGTAAATTAAAGTTGTATGTGATATCCTGTCCTAAGTTACGCCTGCTCAACAGGACTGACTGACTGACTGAGTTAAGTTTTACGCCGCTTTTAGCAATATTCCAGCAATATCACGGCGGGGGACACCAGAAATGGGCTTAACACATTGTGCCCATGTGGGCAATCGAACCCGGGTGTTCGGCATGACGAGTCAACGCTTTAACCACTAGGCTACCCAACCGCCCCTGCTCAACAGGAATTGTGGACTGTGTTCACAGTACATCCAACATAGGGTGAAACAGTTTCAGAATGAGCAATGATCAGAAACCTACCCTTACCCAGTCCAAGTTTGTACAGTTCATTGTAAAGTCATCTATCGTCGATATTGTCCGAACATATACATGTGCCATTTCTTCAGTGTTATGTTACGAGTCGACAAGCTAATGCCAATTGTGAGGTGGAGAATTTATCTTGAATAAACCTGCTAAATAAATATGCTATTGTAATTATTTATAGTTTCCTGTGAGAAAATGGGACAGAAAACATGTTTCTGGAGAGCAGACTTGTGAGGCAAGGATGTTACATGGGTAAGTTTCACAAAGCCATCTTGATGCTACAACTGTCGTATGTTCATACTAGTAGCACTGCCATTCCCTTCAAGAGACCCTGCTGATTGTATTGTCACTGCCCTGACAGGAGGGAGCTTTGCTCGTGTTTCCAGCCACAGGTCTGCCTGTAACAACCTGACGTGTTTACGGGCCACTGTGACGAAACTGGGCTATTACAGACATAGTATTGCACTGACTGTTACAAAAATTAATGGGTTATCTTTTTCATGTTGGCCTCTTGTCACATGACCAAGAAATTAAACGGACTGAAGGAAAGACATCTAATAAACATATATTGCTGTCATTTACAAAACAGACTTTATTACTAACTAGCAGTAATAACAGGAGATTATAAACGTACAAAGAACTTTTCCCATTAGACTAAGTGCCAAGATGTGCATCTTTACTTGGTCTTCAACATGACAGCATGAAAAAAATCACTCACAACACACTTCACAATAAGCTTGCAGGCTCAAGCTTTGGAGACATATAATTTCACAGATCTATTTAACACTTTACTTTGAACAGATGTGTTAATTATTGCCAGTCTTCAGAACACTGCACAGCCCAAAGTAGAGATGGAGTTGACTCTCAAGTGCATGAGAATGAGGGAGGTTGCTTGGATATCAAACAAGACATATTCAGGGTTAACTGATCATGTCAGCATCAGAACAGATCTGTTAAACAGACGTACACCTGTTCCATTCGGATGCAAATTAAGTTCCAAAGTAGAACGGCCATCAGAGAGGAGACTTGAGGACAATACTATACTCTTCGTTTCACTAGGCAAACCAGTGATTGATATGAGCACTACTCCACATGGTCAGGGAATGGCTACAAGTAATCAAGCACCTCAGCCGCCCTGACAACCAATCCAACCAGTCACCTTTGCGACAGATTGCAGGAACTTTAATACTCTGTTTGACAGGATGTTAACTTGTTCCTGATGAAAACACCTTAGTCCAGAATTCAAACTTACTGTCTTCCCTTCAAGTAAAATAACCCAAATCATAATGCTTTAACGGTAATGTGAGTTTGTTCCATCAATTTAATATTGGTTTGCCCCAAAGTAATTGTTGCTAGCTATAAGGTATTGTCAGAATCTGCTGAAAAGAAAATGTACAATCTTTTCCTTAGGAACATAACTTATTTATTGATGCTTCAGAACAAAACAACATAAAATTGACTTGAATAAAGACTTTATTCAGAATACAATTCAAGCAAGCTACGAGCACAATATACATGTCATGTCAAAAATTCTCCTATCACTTGTACTGATAAAAGCTGCCCAATCCTAGGATACCTGTGCTTTGGCAGATTGTGATCTATATCTCTTCTTGGTCACAATAAAAATGCAGTAAGTACTGAGTTCGGAAAACACAAGAGGCATCATACATTAATAATAATTATAATAAAGAACCATACTGTCTGTAATAGCAGCACTTTGGAACACACGGTGCCCTGCCTGGAAGTAATCACAGTGTGCTTATATAGCATTTATATAGATACAGTCATTTTTTTTTTATGTTTTTTTTCTTTATATTTTTTTTTTGGTTTTGTTAGGGTTTTTTCATTTTTTGTTGTTTTTTTTCTTTTTTTTTTTCTTTCTTTTCTTTGTATTTCTTTTTTTTCTTTTTTTTTGTCTCTTAAGTATTTCTGTTTTTGCACTGCATCCTGTGTCTACCTGCTGCCACGGCGTGCTGGACTCTCAAGCCCATAAATGCCAGATCACTGATAATATTAAGGACAAATAATTAAAAATCTTAAATTAAATTTGTGGATTTAGGATGCACATTTGTTTTCTATTTTTGGGAGGTATTTTTTTTTTTTGGTCTTTTTCTTTTGTTTTTTTTTTAATACTTTTTTTCATTTGATTTTTTATTTGTTTTTGTTTGGGTTTTTTTCATGTTTTTTTTTCTTTTTTTTCTCCAAGTATGGGCGGGAATAAGGACTATTACAGACAATACAGCAGTTCAGGTGGCATATTATATAAAATGGCTAACCCAATCAATCATCCAAGATGATTCGTTATGCCCAATATCATTTATTTCTTGGAAGAATTATCAACAGCACTAGAATGCACTTCTATCCTGATTCAATCACACAACTGGACAACAGACACACATATGAGACTTCAGTATCACAGGTTGTATTTTTCCTGCCAACTGACAGATTCCAATTCAAACAAGAAAAAAAATATTACACCACCAATCAAGTGTAATTAAAGGAAAACATATTTGCACTCATTGTTGCTGCATTACAAGTAAGATTCGATTTGACATCAGTCATGAATGGCCTATACATAAACAGTATTTTCATACATTCACAAATAGACTTGAGGTTAACTTGTATAAAAGGCTTTGAACCCTCCCTTTCCCCCGCCCTCCCTCCAGCCCAATTATTAGTAGGCCCACTTGCTTGCTGAGGCTGTATACCCACATGACAAGACAATTTGGGAATTCTGAAAGACTTAATACTTCACCTGAAGTACAAAAAATAAACTCTGTGCTATACTTGAAGCAGTGAGCACCACTAATTGCACGCTGTTTAGCACTAGGGAGGGTAGGCAGCAGGGTAACAGCTCTCAGAGCACAAGTGATGGTCCATGGAACACATAGAAGCAGTAACTAACTTGCGTCGTTGGCGACGGCACCCACCTGCATTAGCTAGCTAACCCGCGTACAACAAGAGATCAATCACATGATGGGAAACTGGGAAACCATGTCAACAAACAAGCCAGAAACCTGCCCAACCCATATTTGATTGTCCTGGAAACACACTACTGGAATACTGACCATATCACGAGTCATCAACATTTATTCATTTAAACAGACTACCAACAACCAGTGAATTGACAAAAATCTTGGTAGAGGTCCCAGATTAGATTTGGTTATGGCAGGTTTCAGTGTAATAATATATCTCTATATATATTAAAGATTTGTTTGATATTTACATGGATTCCCCTCCCAATATATTGCTAAGGAAAGGGTTGGAATTATGATCCTCTACTGCCCCTCCCCCCCCCACAAGCTTGAGCTCCACATGTTGCCGGGACCGGGCTGGCTCCCTCCCATGCCTCCACGACTTGGCATGGCACTCCACGGAGTGGTGGACTCGCTGCGGTAGTACCCAGGGTTAGCAGCTGAGGACGGCTGTGTGGAGCGTTGTGCGGCAGGCTGGCCAGGGGGTGCTTGCTGCATTGGCTGGAAGTTGGACACCTGTTGGCCTTGTGACCACTGACTAGGGTTGTTGGATGAATTACTGTGCTGATCCAGGAAATGAGCACACTCTTGGTCAGACAAGAATTCAGCCAGAATGGTGGTGTTGCCAAGAACGCAAGTATTAAGTGCTTTTTTGAGCTTTAAAGGCTTCATCCTTGGAATTGTAGCAGACCACTGCCTGTCCTTGACTGAGATTAAGGTGGAACAGACGCAGTGGGCCATGTTGTTGGCACAGTGTACGAAGCGTGGAACCATCAATCTGAAAGGGAACATCAATTTCAATGGACCGACACCAAGCAAGACAAAATAAATGGCTTTGTATGCCACTTTAAACACTATTGCTAAAAGGTGTTGAACTAGTAACTCATTAAACATCATATCAATAATAGTTCAAAAGAAACTGCATGAAATTTCATTAAAATTTATCATTTTTGCCTGAAAGCAGGAATGAATAATAAATTCCAAATCCCAATTTATAGCCAATAAAACTGAAGTAAGCAAGCTAAGATACTATGTGAAAGTTGAATAAGCCCACAACAGCCATCTCCAAAGACTGCAGCTCAATCTTCTAATTAACTAATGCACTATTTTAGCAGCTGATTAGAACAGAAAGCTGTATTCAATCTCTAGCAAGCACTAGACAGCAAAATGTGAAGAAGTTGAGAATGGAGCATGCAATAAGGACACAGCTGGTATTGTGGGATGGAACTATGGTTGTAAGACTGCAGAAACCAGGCTAGATGGTCTAAGTTGACTTGGGACAGGTAACATACGGACAAATGGATGATAGTTAATGATTCATATCCCAGCCTGGCATGCAAGTTGTAACCATGTTAAAGACTACAAGACAACTACTACCTGTGGAGTGAGGTTCCTTAGGACCAGCCAAGTGGAGGTATTAGGGGCTCTCCCATCCCAACCTTGAGCGTTCACTGTAAGACAAGAGGTCAAAAGCTTCACAAGACAGCACCAATCACCTCTAACCCACAATAAGATTTTGTCTCACAGCAATTTGCAAAGCTTTGCCAAATAAACAGAGCAGCAGGCCCACCGGCCCCGATAGTCTCCACCAATACACTGGTTGGTCCACTAGGCATACCCCACTCTAGCTTGCACCGACCGACCGACAGCGAGTGTCAATGTCAGAGATGAGAAGGCAGAGGGGGACTATTGGGGTGGTACAAGCAGAAAGGTAGTTAAAAGTAGTGGTAGTTATAATCAGGCATCACTGGTGGCAAATATCAGATCACATAAATAGTCCACTATGTGCACATGTGGATAAAATTCACATACTTATGAAGCAAAAGAAAGTTATACCAAATGTCCAAAATGTTTGTCTTACCTTTAAAACAGCTCGCATTGATGTTGAATGTTATAATTGAAAGATTAATGTTTGAGAAGAGAACTATTAAATAGCCTTGCTATAGAAGTGTTTAAACCTACATGTGAAGAAATACAAGTCACATGAAGGTTTGCAGTTAGTCCAGGAAGCAGAAGCTTGATACCCATCACCAAATAAATTGAAATGTAAAATTACCTGGGGTAAATGCCGAGTTGTCTGTCCTGCCAGCCCAGGAGTTCTGTCTGTTGACACCAGCAGGCCAGTGGTGGGTCTTGTGCGCCATGAGGCCAGGAGGAGGGCGATTCTTTGGAGGCATGCTCCATACATCAGACATGGAGGGCGTTGTTGATTCAGATGTGGACCAGGGTTTGGACGAACTTGTGGTGGAGATGTGGCTTCCTTTCATGCTCCAAGTGGTGGACGAGTCAGCAGCCACTATTGGGCTGGTCTTGATGCTTGTCGCCAAGTTATTCAGGTAGTCATCCTTCACAACATTGACACTTAGTGACCGGGATATACTTCCTGGTGTGATATGAGGGTCATCTTCAACACTCTTAGTAAGCCCCTGCCATGGTTTGCCAGGAACAAACTCAGGGATGATGTCAGTCATACTGATTGTCGGAGTGCTGGATGTGGTAATTGGTGGGTGAGATTCTTTGTTTTCAGAGCTCTCTTTTGTCTCGGCTTGTGAAGTGGTTCCACCAGAACTAGTAGAAGGCCAATTTTGAGACGAGGTGGTTGCTTGTGTAGACCAAGTAGTATCACCACTGATATTTAGGCCACTGAGATCAGAGAATGGCCCCAGAGGTGGGCCACTTTGTGACTGCTGGAGAGGTTTGCTTCCAACAGCTTTATTGAGGTTTTCTCCAACTTCACCAGCGGTTTCTTTGTCAGGGGTTTGGCGCTTCCACTGGTTAAGGCGGGACGTTTGTTGCAATTGAGGTGGATTAATGGCAAGTTTCTCGAGTTCATTCTGTATGGGCATCATGTTATCAACTGAGTCTTGAATATGTGGGCCTGCTGCTGGAGCTTGAGCCATGGGACCTCCAGCCCCTACAGCCCCACCAGGGTTTTTGAGCAGGATCTGCTGTGCCTGAGAAAGCTGCTTCTGCAGCTGCAGTATCTGCTGTTTGATATTGTTGATCATGACTGCCAGCTGTTCCACCTGTTGCCGTTGAATCATGTTCATCATCTTGTTCTGTTGGAGGAACTGTTGCTTGGTAACAAGCTGCTGCAGAACATTCTGCAGTTGCAGCAGTTGTTGCAGGAGCACCAGGATGTTGTGTGGCAGTTGCTGGTTCAAGAGCTGAGGGCTAATGAGGCCAGACTGGACCGCCAGTCGCAGCTGTTGCAGGATCTGCTGCTGCGCCATCTGTTGCTGCATCACCTGTGTGTTCGGCAGCTGTCCTCGGGTCAGAGGACCTTGGGTGGGACTCATTGAATTCATAGACTGGTTCTGTTGCTGTTGTTGACGCTTATGCTGCATGAGTTTTTGTTGCAATGATTGTGGATTAATACTGGGGTTATTTGGATTCAGACTAGATGGGGGCAGACTAGGTCCCGATTTAGACCGGTCATATATGGTCACAAATGGCTGATTTGGTACTTGAGCATTTTGAAAGGGAGTATTTTGCATGTTAATGTTAGGCACATGTGGATTGCTCTCAGACTGAGTATCTGATATGTCATCGTTAACCATGGCATTGTCAGGCATCATGCCAGGCATTCTGGGTTTTGCACTATTAGACATGAACACATCCATGTCAGCATCCTTCTTGGTGGCCATAAGATCAGCTGAAACAAAAGTACAATCTCCTCAAATGTCAACTAGACTTTCAAAGCTGGAAAGTATCATCGGGGTATATTTACGAGGATAACAGCAAAAACTAAAGTTTTTATTATAGTGACTATTTAGTATGTTGCTATTCCATCCAAGAGAGATAACAAAGTGTAGGCTTTACACAACACGTTTGTGGGGCACTGCACCCAGTGCCTTCGAAAAGGTAAGAACTTGGCTGACAGCCCCAAGGAATATCTATAAACTACAAAATCATGAATTTAAATGTATAGGCTTCAAGGACATATCTACTTACCCAGGGCACTTTCAACATTCATGTTATTGCTAATCAAGGCATTCTGAGCTTCTTCCTTCTGTAAAAAGAAATAAGTGGGCTGTTTGTTAATACAGGAGTTTATTAAATGACATTTGTTTATATATTGTGAATGCCCCAACAAATGTCTTCAACATGACATCAGCAAGTAAAGATTTCAAATTAAGTTTCCCTATGAATATTGTCTTTGTGATTATATGTAAAAAGGAGAAGTGTATATGTTATTTGAAGTTTTCAGCAAATATGGAAGACAAAAGAAATAAGCTATATTGTACCCAATATTGAACCAAGGTTTTCCGCATGACAAGACAAACCACTAGGTTACCCCTATGCTCCAACTATGCATAAGCAAGTAACAGATGGCGTGTAAGAAAGTTCTTGTACTCCAGAACATGTATAAATCAATAATTCAGTAAAAAATATTTACAAAAAATGCAGAATTTAAAGTCTTAAGATTATGTTGCCAAAATTGATCAAACTTAAGTGAGTTGAGATTTACGCCACACTCAGCAATATTCCAGCTATATAGCGGCGGTCTGTAAATAATCGAGTCTGGACCAGACAATCCAGTGATCAACAGCATGAGCATCGATCTGCGTAAGTGCGATACAATGACCTGTGTCAACCAAGTCAGCGAGCCTGACCACCTGATCCTGTCAGTCGCCTCTTACGACAAGCATGGGTTACTGAAGATCAATTTTAACCCAGACCTTCCTGGGTTGATCAAACTTTAAAAATAACTCATAGTATCACAAGAGTTTTATCTTTATGGCCCCATTGAACTACTAACTAAACACGATGGGAGTTTAAGTATGATTTTAATCTAAATATGTTCGAGTTTAAACAAAGATACAGTGCAGAGGCCCAGATAAGCTGCGTATTTGGGTAAAATACGCACAGAAAATTTCCAATTACTCATTGAAAAATAATTGTTGCTTACCAATTACGCATCTAAAATGTTAGATAAGCACAAAGTTTAAAACATATGCGTACGGAATATATCTATAAAAATCACTTGCATAATGAAAAAGACATCGATTGGCATCAAGTTGTATTGTTAGTATAGGACTAGTGTTGAACTGTCAGTACAGGATGAGTGATTTTTTATGAAATCATTTCCATTATATTTAAGTTGGTTTTGCTTCAGTATGACATAAGGCAGTACATACCTGTTTAGTAAACTTACTCAATGACATATACTTAGGTGAGTAAAATCACTGAAATACCCACATATTTGAAAGCAGTGGGTAACGGAAAATGAAATACCCACTCAACATTCATAATACCCACTCCAAAAAAATACAGTGGGTACAGTACCCACATGAGCTAAATCTTATCTGGAGCTCTGCAGTGTATGAAATTCCTCATGTACAATGACTAAACTATTCTTAATGATGCTCTGATGTAACATTGCATTTGACACAACTTTGAACAAACAGCATCATACTTCAGTGAATATCATAAAGCACATGTTCGGACACATACTTTGAAACCCATGTCCATCAGCTGTTGTAGTAATTTACTTCTCATCTGGGGATGATGATTGTTGCCAGTGGGGAATTTGTTAGGACCCTGTAAAAAAATGCCCAGGAGATAAATATTTGGATCTACTGAAAGGATGTACTCCATTATTCAATTATACCATAAATATTGCAGACACTTTTATTAAACTATGCTACAAATACAATTTAAAGGAGAAATTGATGAAATTCTTTTTCAACTGTTATTGAACATAAATAACATCTAACTTTTCATTTTTGATGAATGTGCTGATCAAATAAAATGAATGACAAAGCATGAAACAATAACTGTGGGTTAGAACGTGCAGACAGATATGTGTCATGTTAGCGTAACAGTGAGAGAGACACTGTACATTGTGCGATGTTGCAAGCTCCAATGTTATCCCTGGCGCAGGAGGGCCACTTCAGTTACTGATGTCCCATACAAGTGGGATGACAGGGAGGAACAAAACTAAACCAAACTTGAACACTGCAGTTAGTTAACGTGTTCACCTCAACACAGCAACATTACCTTTTGTAAACTTATGAATATGATTTCAGGAAAATAGAAATGGTTGCTTCAGTGTCAAAAATGAAAAAGTATTAAAAGATTAGAGAAAAATACAAAGCATTAACTATTCATTTCATTTGCAAACAAGGAACCGTTCAGCTTTACTAACTTACAAAAGGCATGAAATGACTTCTGTAAGAATTGTACTACAAGCAATCTAGCATGTAACAAAATGATGATAAGGGTGAGCCTTGTGACTAGTGTACTGGCAGTACAACTTGAGCTGCAGGCAGCTATGCTAGTGTGAGCTAGAACAAGGACGGTGTCGGAAGTGACGGGGTCTCATGGTGCCCACATTTTCCAGGGATAGTATACCTTCACCAGATTCTTTTTGGTTTTCCAGCCAGGGGCACTGCTCCATGTACTATTTTCTTGTGAAATGTCATTCCAATATCCCACCTCCGTTTCACCACCCCACACATTGCCTGAATTGCTTGCATTCTCATCTGGCCAGCCCGGCTGCAAGAATCACCATCAGCAACATACAAGTGTTGGCCGCAATCCAAGGGGGGTGGGAGCAGCACAGGCAGGGAGGGCGGAGGAAGAGGGAAGAGGGACAGGAGAGAAAGAAAGAGGACAGACTGATGCTTCACTCAAGTGTCGAGTAACAGATTACCAGAAATTCACCATGTGCACAGTTGACCTAAATCTGGTATGAATTATACTAAGCCAGAAATATAAAGACGATTTAAGCCATAAATGTAAAATGTCTAGAGTCATGAACACGTCACATGAACCTGCATAGAAGGTGCTCAAAACATTGAACACTGGACAAAATCAACCATCAAAAGCAAACAAACTGAAGATGTCCACAATGTGACACAAATCCCCTTGTGTTGAAATATATCCAGGTATGTGATGCCTCATGAGGAGTTAGAGTATTAGCACTAATGCTACATGATGGAGAAGAGTATTAGTGATTTAAAATGAAGGATGCTCTTATCTTTCCATTTTTAAGACTTATTTATGTCCTAAAACATGAATTTATACTACAGGAACACTGCTTATTATCATGGAACTTAAAATTTTCAAACAGAATCCAGTGTTCACATTTTCTAACAAAGACATTGCACTTGTGTATTGTGGTTTATTGGTCATTCAACTTACAAATGAGCAGCTTTCCCAACAACGTATTTTTTGTTGTTGAACAGAACAGTTGTTAACAAATGAACATATACTGCAATTAAGAAATTTAGTTGGGTTTATACAATTAGTGTTTGTTTCCAATACAACTTATCTACAAACCTGATGAAATGTATATTATGTGTGAATGTGTTCAATGTCCTGATAACCCTTTATCAAGGGAAAGAGCATGGGATGAGAGCATTTTGAAGGACAAACATAATGAAATAGTCTCCACATGACTTAAGGGCATTAACCCATCTGAACGATCAGGTGGACTCTTGACGTAGAGATTAATACAAATATAACAAATGAATGATAAAACATGCAAATGAAATGAATGATGAAATGATGAAAAGACCAACTGTGCACATGACCAATATTAGAATATAAATGACCATTATAAAATTAACTCCAAAACAAAATTCTTTCCAAAATTTCCAAAGTGTTTCTTTAATATCCATGGAAGACTTGGTGGAACATGAGGACATGCAAGTAAGACGGGCTGTGCAGTCTTCCCATGCTGTCTCTATGCTACACCTGCCCAGCTGTGAAGGAGGCCAAGTTGGACAACAATTAACTGAGAAGCAGCTACAACACCCGCCACAATGCACTCATGTCTGCAAGCACAATGGGCATTAACCAGTAGTGAGACGGGCAATACAGGAAACTTAGCAAACCTTTCTCAAGTTCCAGCTCTGGTCGCCGCCGCCATCTCCACTCCAACTCGAGGTAGATAGGGATTTTGGCTTGGCACCAGGCGTGGGATTCCACTGACTCCCTGGGTCACCCCAACCTCCAGCTCGGGCCTGGAACACAACATAGTGTTTATGATGTTGAGAAGCTACTCCACAAATGTATTTTATTTTGAAAGCATCATACACAGCACTTACACTGTGTTAGTATCATAAGTGAATAGTACAAACATAATAACTCAGTGAAAAATTCACTGAAAAAAACACTGATAAATGTTTTATTACCAAATAGTGATGTAATGAAACAAACAGGAAGACTTACCTGCTGCTGGGCATTGGCTGCCCAAATACTGGTTCCATCATCAACCTTCATGTTGGAGTTGGAGAGGTCTCCCCATCCAGAGGCCTTTGGTGGGTTGCCAACTCCTACATTTCCACCTCCACCACTCATTCCTCCAGCACCCATTCCTCCAGCGCCCATTCCTCCACCGCCCATTCCTCCACCGCCCATTCCAGAGCCTGTAGGTGGTTGCTGGACCGGTACCGGTGCTCCTTTGTTCCAAGACTCGGGCTGTTCAGGCTTGGGCCGTGGGGTTAGTGGAGTTGCTGGGGTACTTGGTTGACTGTTCCAACCTTGTGGGCGCGCTGCATCTGTGGCTCACCCCAGTAACCTGTACCATTATCAACACGTCGACGCTGCATTGCTGCATCTTCCCAGCCTCCTTGAGAATCTTGATTGTCTCCCCACTGGGACCCAGATCCACGATCGCGATCCTGACCGGAAGATCCCCAAGATCCTGTTTCAGTCTTGTTACCCCACATGCTTGAGGTTTCAGAGCCTCCCCCCCAGGTACCAATGGTTTTGTCGGAACTTCCACCTCCGTTGCCTCCTACATTGCCAGCACCATTTCCACCAACTCCAACATTGCCAGCACTGTTTCCACCAAGGCCACCAAGACCACCAGTTCCACCATTTGGACCAACACCTACACCACTGCCAACACTGCTTCCTCCATTACCACCCCATTGGTTATCAGCTCCAGGCTTGTTTGGTGGGCCATTCCAAGTATTGGAATCATTCTCATTTTGCCACTGAGATCCACCTGAAGCTCCATTCCACCCACCACCTCCGCTGCCACCACCATTGCCACCATTTCCTCCATTACCTCCAGAGCTACTGTCACGACTAGCTTCCCAGATTGCCGTTCCATTATTATTGTTCCACACATTGGAAGCTCCACCACCACTATCAGTAGAAAATTTGCGTTTGGTCTTTGGTGATTCTGAGACATCCCAGGCTGTATCCTGTTTGACAGGTTTTGCCCCCCACCCATCATGGTTCTCAATGGCTTGTCTTATGAAATCATCAGCAACTTGTCCTGATTGGCCTGCTGCATCAGCAGCAGAGGGTTGCCCGGTCCCTGAATTGCTGCTGCCTGGGGTTAAGCCCTTGCATGCAGCTTGAGCCCATGATATGAACTCAGTTGTATTGCCTGATCCCTGACTATTGGCTGCACCATTGGGGTTGTCCCCCCATTGTGACTTAGAATTATTATCCCACTGGGTTGCTGACTGTGGAGTGGGAGGTAGGGACTCTCCCCACCCACTACTTCCCAAAAAGCCAGACTTAGGAGCCGCATCTGGTGTGCCCCACATGCTAGAGCCATTGCCCGCACCTTCCGGGCCACCATTATTGCCACTGTTTTCTTTCCCACAATTGTTCATCACAGCACTTGTTGGATTATTCCAGCCAGACTCGTGGGGTTTGGAATACGTAGTCATGCCACCAAACATGCCAGACCCACTACTACCCTGCCATGGAGTTTGATTATTTGAAGGCCCTGTCTGATTGCCACTCACTGGAGGTCCACTTTGTTGAGCACCGCTACCGCTAAGCATCAAACCATGCATATTGTTGCCATTTGAGGTTTGCATTTGCATGGAATTCTGTGGTCTTGGGCTACCCTGGCCTGGGGCACCCATCCCCCATCCTGAACGGGAAGTGGAGGAGTTTGAGTTCATAGAATTTGATAGGTTATCACTACCAGCCATGCTGGTACCAACTTGCATATTATGTCCTTGGTTGTTCATAGAAAGACTTGGATGCGGATTACTTGAACCCCAATTCATAGGATTCATATTGGCAGCAGAGGAATTTGGAGGATCCCTGATCCCCCAAGGATTTGATTCAAGTCCACCAAGTGTGGAATTGGCTCCCCATGGATTGGAAGCACTTTGACTCTGCATGGCACTTAACCCCTGATTGGTCTCCTGATTTTGACCATGGCTACTTGAGCTAGATATCACAGATCCGGACTTGACAGATGCAGCATCATCTCCTGCATCAGAGCCCGCAGTTTCAGAGTTCCCAATGGACGGCCAAGCTTCTTTATCTGAGGAATCCACAATGACACTATTAACACTTGAGCTTTGGCTCCACTCACAGTCCTTGGAAGGATTGTGCCAGGTTCCTATATTCTGACCTCTGTCGTTTGCAGCTGGACCTTACAGAGACAAAATAGGACTATATTTCCTTAAGGGATGATAGAAGTACTTTACGTTATGTCTCATCAACACTCAAACTCATTACTGTTTGAGAATAGTTTTCTTTCACTACCTTAAAAATGATTTGATCCAACTACAAATAGACCATTTCTAGAAACATCAGTTCATTATTACTTCAGAGGCAGAAGACTAATCTCAAGACAAATACTAATGAAGCAATCAACAAAGGTGAAGTAAAGCAAAAATATACAAATATGGTTTTCAGGCAAGATACTTTCCAAAAATTAGTAAAAACAGAAAAAATCTTTCAAGGAAAGTGTTCAATAGACATGCCTGATAACCATGAAAATAAAGTTAGCTTTATTGTGGAACAACTTACTTGGATCTGTCCAACCACTACCCGTAGCAGGTGGTCCCTCACGCCATCCACCATCATCTTCTTCACACCAACCAAGTCCCACTGCTGCTGACGCTGAAGACGCCCATTGATTACCAGTCTTTTTACCCCCCTGTGGTCGACAATGACACTGTTAATGTTGATCAGGATAAATTAACAGGAAGAGTTTATAAGCATTATAAAATGCAAGTGTGACAAATGTTCACATTGGACGATTTTCTTTTGAGTGTGGTTGTCAGTGGCCCGTTTTAATAGTGACCCAATTCTATATAAATCCCTGACGTCATGACATGACTGTTTGACATCCTGGTGTATGCAGAAGCAGGCAAGCACATGGTAGTGACTTTCATCAACTCCTTACTTCTTGAGCACACCTACCTTCTTGCATGTCTTTGTGACCAGCTCAGGGGGGGGAATCGTGGTTTGGTGAGTACTTCGTTGATAAGGAGCAATGAGTAGTTTGTAGCAAGCGATGATTGATCTTGAGTTAATTGTAATTTGTTCAATCTGAAATGAAGATTGACTGACATAACTATCTCCACTAAAGCTCAAATGATACCAAGGTAAAGCCACATGGTAAAGTACTTCCTTAGTTCTCATGAGGATAGCTATAACTTCTTTGATTAAAAGGTTAATGAACAAAACAGCACAATACTTCAGGGCAGATATGGCACCTTAATATAGCTAACTTGGAACAATAACCCAGTTTGTAAGTTTGATCAATGCAAAGCATGAGCCATACTACAACATACCAGCTATTGTGAAAACAAGTAGTAAGCTTCCCTCTTTGTTGGAAGGATTCAGTAACTCCCATTTCCTAAAAAGAAAAGTTCCGAGTTGAACCAGCTCGACTGGGATTTCTCGGGGATCAATGGACCCCATCTAAAATCCATTCCATTAAAAAAATCCATTGCATACAAAACCAAATTAGATCATGCATAAAAGCTTTTAAACAAAGTCAATAAATAGTTTAGTATGTTTCTAGATGTGATCAAAAAGTATTCTAAGTTATTCATGAAATTTAATCTGAGGGTATCAGCATGTATGTCTATGTTTTCACAATGCAGTCAGCAATATTACAGCTATTGTATAACTGAATCTGGGACAAACTAGGGATTGATATGAGGGAAGTCCAACAAATCAGGGTACAATAAACAAGTCACCAAATCTGACAGCCGAATTCTATAGTCGCCACTTGCTAAAAGCAGTCTGTTGCTGTGACCTATTCTTGCAGGGTCTCTACAGGGGATATCAGTATGGCTAGGGTGTTGATATGCACAAAAACAACTTTCAGCAAGTAGTGAGAATAGCAGTAAGGGACTTACCTGAGAGCTAGGCACTTTGACTGATTTGTCTTAGCTAGAGAATGCTTCAATGTGCTTGCCCTCAATTTGGAATGCAATCTGATAAAGAAAAGTTTACATTTCATGGCATATCATTCACAAAAATCAACAATTATCATGGACCCTCTATTATCGCGGTAGTTAATGTTGTCGCCATCGGGATTATAAACGGCTACTGACATTTAGCATTTTATATATATTTTCAGTTGACTAATGTTTAATCTTCATTTCTGTCACAAATAATGTGACACATAGTCGCAACTCGTTTAATACCATTGCGGCAATTCCGACTGTCTCGTTTGACCCGAAAATTGAAGCAACTCTCTATTATCGCGGTATTGCTTTTTTCGTTACTGTGGCACGCGGTACAAGCAGATGACACTGTGAAACATTTACTAAGACAAGTAACGAATCTAAATAGTTTGATCATTAAAAAATATTTAAGAATTTCATTCACATTAGTAATATGTTTTTAACCCAAACATCTGAAACTTCTATTCATTTGGATACAAGGTAACAATAATGTTACAAAATGATGTTTTTTCCGCCTTAAAACGTACCATACAAGTTGCTGCAGTGTGTAGAGTGAAGTTGCATAATACGTCACTTCCTGTTATATTTTTAGCACGAAAAATATGCAAATGACCTTATAGTTGTCGCAGGATTACTTTTGGCGAAGTAAGTTTTGATTCATGCTAGATGTAATGGCAGTAGGGGTCATACTAGTTTCAAAATGTTCCAGAACTTACTGAAAAGATGAATGCTTTAATATTTCTACGATTAGACTTGACATTCCAATGAAATAAATGACTTTTTCAAGAGCGATGAATATATTTTATGTAATTTGCATATGTAAACAGCTGATGCGGGGCGTGGTGTGTCTGCTTTCCCGAAGTTTTCACGTGCCGCGATAATAGAGAGTCCCAGTATAATGCTTATACAGACTAACAACGGACAAGAAAGAATATGTATGTTCAATTTACAGCCTTACATCCACAACAACAAAACTCTAAACATTAATCCCTGGTATAGATTGTGAAGTACTTAAATTTTGCCAATCAAATACAAAATTATCAACTGCCAATGGCACCTATGATAACGTTTAAAAAATGTCAGATTTTCAGTTATCTCATAACTCACCTTTACAACACAACCTTAAAGCAAGGTTCAATTTGCATTGTTCTGAACTAGACAAAAATCTGGAAATGAAAAAACTATGTTTAGACAAAGGAATTCAAAAGGCTATCATGATCAATATCATTATTTCGATATTTATATGTCAAAAATCTACTGTACCAATCGTTGTCAAAATGAAGGACATGATGTTTAAAACTGATCGTCTGAGTAGTTGTTACCAGAAATTAAGGGCACTATGATTTACTTCAGGGGTCACTGAATATATGCTATGATAATACCAAATATATTTCCACATAAAGCAACAACTTACAATGAAATGTTGAAAGAATATGGCATGGACCCACGAGATCTGTAAAATAATAAAAAATATCATGTCTTTAAAATTTGGTTCTAAGTTAATGTTTTTAGCCCTTTTTTCATGAACTGGATAAGCTCTTTTTTGTTTTGTTGCTTAGAATATATTACAACATCCATCAGTTGGTGGCCTTGAAAACTATGGCTATCGCCTCTACAATCTTAATATCCCTCATGTCACTTTTTAGCAAGTGTCCCCAAATGTACAATACAAACAAGTGAAGTAGATTATGTGATAATCACACAAAATAAGTGATCCTTGTTTATTTCAAAACCCTACTCCCTGTTGTGGTGAAACTCCATTTTTCCACGCAAACCCAACTTGTGATAAAGACAAATTTAAATTTACTGTTCTATTATACAGTTAATTTCTAAAAGAGTGAGTTCAGTTTAATGCCACTTTTTTAAGCATTATTCCAGCAATATCATGGCGGGGGACGTCAGAAGTGGGCTTCACACACTGTACCCATGTGGGGAAATCGAACCCGGATCTTCGGCGTGACAGGCGAATGCTTTAACCACTAGGCTACCCCACCATCCCAATTTTTAAAAGAAGTTTATTCCTTTTTAAAAAGGATACGATGACACAATCAGCTAAGTAACAGTTTGGAAACTAGTAGCAAAGTTTATTTACTATGACCATGAATTGTTCATTAACTGATATGATCAATTTATAGAATATACTAAAATATCTACCTTTGCACAACAAAAAATACAATGGCGAGCAGATCAAGAAATCTGAAAAATAAAGAAAATGTGTGCTGACATACAAAACCTTAAAACAGGAAATGTAATCAATTTGTGCTAATAATTGTGTCTGCTTGCATGATTGAAGAGGCTAAGGTGTTTCTTTAAATATTTTGTGTAATAAGCAAGACCTCAGATGTTGTTCTTTGTTAAATGAACTTGAATTCAAACAGCAAGGAATAAATATTTTCCTTGAGTAAAGCGAGCTGATATGTTGATATTTCAGGATTAAAGTGACAGTACTGGTACTAAATATCAAAGTTTCTTGGAAAATGTAAGCAGGTTCTTTGAAAAATATGTTCTCATCAGGATGCCTTAGAAATGTTTGAAGACAATTGGAACAAACTGGTGAGGTTATTTCTGAAAAGTTGTATGCTGTATTGGCAACCCTGCTTTGGAAAACAAATCATTTGCAGGCCTGGGCAAAAAGAAAGGTAGTCATTGTGGTAAATGTTCCAAGTTGATCAAATTAAGGGGGAATGTTAACTTTGTACTTAAACACTGCATTTAATGCAGTAACAAAAACAAAGCATCATAACTTCTTCCTATTTATCAATTATCATTGACATACAATTCACCTACAAAGTTGTAACATTTAAAAAAACACAGTATAATTTCACACTGGCCACACTGTACATCAAATATTCACCTGATCTTATCAAACTGCTTTTCTGTTAAGACAAACAATGCTCCAGGAAATTTTTAACAATACAGGTACAGTAATGGACATCAGAACATATTTCCTAACAAATACATTCTGTACTAGTTTGAAAAAACAGATACATAAACATTGTAATTTAATGTATACTTTCTACCTGTGCTGCCCACCTGTACACTATTTAGCAGGTAGTTCAAAGTGGGTGTGATTATTTGTCAAAGATCATTTTGTTAATCTGGTTGGATATTCACTTTGTGACATCAAAGAATGTTTTGTCCATTCGAATTTTTGGTATGGCAACAATCAAGGGAGCATGAAGTACTGTTTGCCCTTATGATTGATAAGTTTGTGATTTGCAATCCATATATTACTAGTCCATATCTGACTAGTTTTCATCAGTACAATATACCAATACAGCATCTATCTCAAACGCTGGTGGTGTCATGCCAAACCAGCTAAACTTTTGACTGCCACAATTTGAACTTGCCCATTCCTGATGATATTCATAGGACCCAATTTGAAGCTTTTAAAACACTTCATTAATATAATTTAGATTGAGAAGTTGAAAATGTCAAGAATGGATGACATCTTTCCATGAACTCGGATGGTTCTGTGTGACAGGAAAGCTAAACTTGTATTGGTATGAACTATTTCCACGGACAGTAGTTTACCATGCCACAAAAAATACTTCAAAATATATTATTTAAGCAGTGAACTTTTCACAGACTATTTTCACTCTAACCTCTCTGGAAGCATATTAGAGGAAATGTACTGTAAGCAATTATGTGCATCTTAGAGGGCACATGGGTACAGTTAGTACAATACACACAACTTCACGATTATCTTTCTTATCTGACTGTTTGTGTCTTAAGTCATTTCTCAAATGTCCTACTGTTTGGACAAACTAAATAATGTAGTACATGAGTGAGTTTGGTTCACACCGCTTTTAGCAATATTCCAGCAATATCACACAGCGGGGGACACCAGATATGGGCTTCACACATTGTACCCATGCGGGGCATCGAACCTGGGTCTTCAGCATGATAAGCGAATGCTTTAACCACTAGGCTACCCCATCGCCCTTGTACATGAACAATGGGGCAATGGTCAACAAATGCCCAAATCTAGAAATATCCCTGTATTACACTGAACTGGGAATTACTACGCTGAAAAAATACAAATGACACTCACCTCTTAATGACTGTTGATTATGGTTCTGCAAATGAAAACAAGACTTGTGTGTTAAAAAAGCAAAATGCTAAGAACAAAGAGCTGGGAAAATATTAGAAAATCCAAAACTTTCCTAGTAAGCAGATGCTTTCAGTTACCTGTATGCAACTATAATGCACCGTGCCAATACGGTTGCACATTAGTTGTTAATAGTCATAGTCCAGCCATTACACGTACATTATATGCTGCATGTTCTCAGATTAACCTTTCAGACAGTGCCCATATAAGTTAACCAATTCAGGTTACTCAAATTGTGATGAAATGGAAAGACACTTAAATTTGAATCAAAAAAGATACTAAAGACAATGTCAATGTGGACTAGTACTTACCTGAGATTAGATATGAAAGGCAGTGCTAATATCTTCCGATTTGGCAATGGAATTTAAACCCTGCAAATGATGAAAATTGTTACGTCTCAAAATTATTACAGAATTTCACAGAAAAACAATCTCAACTACAACTAATAAAAAACCTCTGAAAGCTTTGTAAGTGTTCTAATTAAAGAATTGAACTGTTCTTTTCTGACTTCTAACTTTTGTTCCTACCTAGTTCAGTTGGCTGACTTCCAAGATTTGGAAGTCCTGCCAAACAGTGTGTCATGGTCCTCATGAAGTATTTACATTACATATCATATGGCTGCTGGTTAAAGAATGGACTTTTCTGGCAAACTCCAAAATGAAGTTAGTACCCAGAAGAAAACTTCAATTGAATTCAGAAAATATATATTATTGGAACACTACATTATCAACTACAGGAAGTATATTCACCTTATAACAGGATCAGGTTGATTATACTGCAAGGCAAGATGAAAGATCTTTGGATAACAGCTGAAACAAAAACAAGAGACATAACTTGAAATGCAGATTTCGTAACACCAAAAGCTGTGTAAATATTGAACATAAAACAGTTTGGGGCATAAATACTAATACATATAATTCAATATTTCAAACAGACCTTAAATAGAAAACATTAATATACCCGATTTTTCCTGTTATGTCACATTAACCAAACTCCAAACAAATCTGCCACCAAAAAACATGTTATTTTCATTGTTATTCATTTGACAAAAAACAAACAAACATTTTAAATACTGAATTCCACAACATATCTGAGATAAGTCAACTTAGTTATGATCACTTCATCTTCAAACACATAGGGTCAACGGAAATTTATTGAATCAAAAATTATGTCTGATTCTAATGATATTTTATGTTCGACCATGTCAATGGTGGCCATGACATAACTAAAGTCTGGGTCATTTGAGGTTTTGGCAAAATGCCACTAAGGCTTCGATGGATGAAATTTATATGATTTGTTGTTTCAGCGATTTATTTTTTACTAAATCTTATCAAAAAGCTGTAAATTGTGCAAAAATTTGTTTCGGACATTGTTTAAGACGCCTGAGTCCGTCAATGCACCGGCAGAAACGCCATCTTGAATTTTCAATGAAGTCAATCCACTCTACAACATGGCCGCCCATAACAAAAATGGCGACCTGTCTGATCTGATCCTCGAAGTGAATGCTGTTTGTGTTGACATTACCCAACATGCATCTAACTAGGTTATGATGTTTACAGCAAGAATAAAGTTGAATACTGCCTAAACAACCAACTGCAAACTCAGATGAGTCAATTTTCCTCAGCTTTTGAGCTCAAAAATAGGGGGCACCTTCCCCTCACCGACACCTTACCCGCAATGCGAAATGCAGACAGATGTTTTTTTCACAACAATAGCCTTGTAACCACTCAAAATATAACAAATGCGATACCAGAAAATCCTTTGGGTACGATAAACAATATAAATGCACTATTTTGCTTCAGTAAGATTGCATTCAACGAAGTAAAACCTCTCAGCACGACAGAGCAAGGCAACTCACCTTTCAGAAGGAATTCAAATGGCTGAGTTTCCTACCCTGGAAAGATTGCACGTATATCACAGAATCTGCTTGAGGAATACACACTCAAATTGTCTCAAAATAGAGTATCTACATAGCACCGGTGCCGAGACATCATTATTGCCGAAATCAACAGATTCTGTCAGTATTCAAAGCTATGCTGACAGGCCTGCCTGGAGGCCGATATCGGCATCAGGCCCATTACGTCCACTGGCTTCTGTTAAATGTCGCCTTTCATGCGCATGTCTCGCAAATCACGTGATAACGAAACTATTCTCGTAATAACATTTTATATATAATGACTTCATGTGAAAGCATCATCAATTGTTTTATGAAGTCCGGACCTTTACGCATTACACGAGGGGTGATCAAAATGATACAGTTTAACAAAAATGCGTAATTAACTGCTGCAACTGTAGCAGGTTGAATGTTGATATTTTGGGAGTAACCACGATCTTTATATAACAAAAAACGAAATCTTTATGGTGAAGGTATAATAAATAATCTGATCGCCATACATGCGTTATTTCCAGCGTACTTAATAAAATCTACACGCTACTCTATCTGACCAAGGGCGATTAGACTGTCAAAACAATTTAATCTTCAAAGAATACGCAATCAATATATTCAAATGTGTATAGAGTGGTAATGACACGTGCGCATGTAAGCTGGTATCAACACTTCATTCATGCATGGTGTTATGAAAACAACGCAGCGAATCAGTTTATGTTGTTCTTAGAAAAAAGGTACTGTTTAAAATCGCTTGTGTTTTTGAATGGTCAAGAGTGATTGGTCGGAATCTAATTTTATTATGTATAAATATTTGGGTAAAAAGGTCCCTCGTTACTTTTTTCCACCTTCCACGGTAAACGTGTATTGAACTGGATTGTGTAACAGGCAGATATAGGCATCCCGTCATACTTACCTGACGTATATAATGTCTATATGACACGGTGTTACACACATGGTTTCTAATATGACACGGACACGGTTTGTAACATATCAGTCTAAAATTGTTCACATATGATTCATGGTTTGGTAAGTATTCCAATCCTCTTGGGATTACCTCAATACACTGAAACTATAGCACTGCCAGCTCCTTGTCTGTAATAGTTGACGCCAATATATGGGTTGCTTGCATGGTTAGCTTTTGTCATATTCTCTTATTCTAAAACGTTAAAATACCTAGACAAGCAGGATATGCACAGGGTATATGCAAGTATATATCTATCTTCTTTAATGTCAGTGAGAATTTACTGAAATGACAACTTAAGGTTAATCTTGTGTTATTTTTTATTTCGTTTTATCGGTACTAATGTACACTGCTTCGCATACACACACACAAACATTTATATACATACCTATATATACATACCTTTCTGTACACCGCGAAACGACTTCCTCAGGCTATATATGTCAAATTTTATCCGAATTTGTATTTTGTAAATGCACCCGTCCCTATTTTCCGATAAGCTGACCCAGCGCTTGATGCCATACCTGATCATTATTGGTTTCTGCCGAAACGTGTGCATGTATAAACATCTATATCGATCCCCTATAATATTCCCTGATGTCGGTTACCAACAAATAGAGATCTGTGCTAGTGGTCTATTCCCATACAATGTGTGGGGCAGGATTGAATATGTGCTGACAGTAACCAGTTCTGGTCGTAAGGGGCAACCATATGAACGAGGTGGTTGGGCTGATTGCGCCAACATGTAAGTGTTTTCATGACATCCACCTCTAGCTACGGTAGCCTCGACTTGTGATTGTTGTTAAATCTATAAAAACTCTGAAGGCTCATAAAAACAGTGAAAAAACAGACTATTTTAGTCTGTTTGCAAACACGAACGATGTTAAATGTATGTAGTCAGTCCTATGAGAAACCTTAATCGTATGATATCTTATAATTGTTTTAATTGTTTCACCTTAAAAGTCACCTGTCCTCACTCCTCAGTAATGTAAGACATGTGTAACGTATATAATGTCTATATGACACGGTGTTACACACATGGTTTCTAATATGACACGGCCACGGTTTGTAACATATCAGTCTGCAATTACTAATAAACAATATATAAATGGAATATAAATGACTTCAGAGTTTCACCTAAGATGGTAATATATGTCAATTCAGAACTTTTCATAGTTTCCGTAAATGTCACTCAGAGCCCACTGGTCTATGGAATTAGTTGTGTCGAAAGTAAGACATATACCCCACGTGACGTTCACGCAAGTGCCCGAACTGTCTGAGCAAGAGCCCTGCAAAACAAAACTTGCATTGTTTACACTCTGTGAAAGCAATCAACACAGACTGCATGCAGACATGCATCACGTCACTGGCATAAGATCATTTCCATGACATATCTCTCAGGTAATTGCATTTTTCTTGACATGTTATTTATTCATAATTATTTTTTTCTGCATCGTTACATTGTGATCCCATCGTGTTCCATTGTTTGGGTCATGTGCCGATGCCGAGACTTGGCAGATTGTATGCATAGATTGGAATCTACACGTGATCACATTAGCTTGCGTACAAATTAGACGTACTTTGAAGGACCAAATGAGATAAGCAGTCTTATTGCCACATGGGCAGTGATCATGACAGTTGATACTTTGTGTAGGAACTCTTGTGATTGTCAAACTTGTTTACAAATCCGTTGTTGACACCAGTGTCTCCAATAATATTCAACCAAAGTAACATAGATGCACATGCAAATTTTGCAAAACAGTTTGTCTACATTGGACCCAAACCCATCAAGGCTAGAATGCACTTTACCGGGCACAGCCCTCGCTGCTCCCTTTACGATCCTTAGGGTTAAAGTTAGGCACCCTTTACGATCCTTAGGGTTAGGGTTTAAGGTTAGGCACCCTTTACTATCCTTGGGGTTAGGCACCATTTATGATCCTTGGGGTTAGGCACCCTTTACGATCCTTAGGGTTAGGGGTAAGGGTTAGGGTTAGGGAACCCCAGCAGCGCTAATTAGTCTGAAAAAGTGCGCCCGGTAAAGTGCAGTACTCCCCCCATCAATATCAGGCTTACGGTTATGCGTGGTCAGTTTGTTAAATAATGCTCGTGGTTTAAGTTAGAATCACTTGTAAGGTGGAGGGGAAGAGTTGACAACATTGTAAGATGCCAGAATTGCAAAATGAATGTAGGTTTGGATAAAAAAGATTAAGTTTACAAAATCAAAGAATGTGGGGATCAGTTATAAACTGCAAGTTGTTGTGATAAGTGTGGATGCCCAGACAAAGACATGGTGGTCTTTTATTGTAGTAATGGGAGTGATGCCATTCATATTTATTATGGTAATAGTCCTGAATAGTGTGCTTCAGTATTCATATAGAGGACATTATCTGTTATATAAGTCTTTTGTGAATGTCATTTTCAGTGTATGTTTGTTTTTTTGTACATGATTTAGCATGTAGTGTTAACATTGTTGGGGTGTGTGTGTGTTTTCTTTACTGATTCAGTGATAACACCTGTCAGTAACTAGGTAGGGAGAGAGGGTTGTCAGTAACTAGGCAGGGAGGGAGTGTAGTCAGTAACTAAGCAGGGAAAGAGGGTTGTCAGTAACTAGGTAGGGAGAGAGGGTTGTCAGTAACTAGGTAGGAAGAGAGGGTTGTCAGTAACTAGGTAGGGAGAGAGGGTTGTTAGTAACTAGGTAGGGAGAGAGGGTTGCCAGTAACTAGGTAGGGAGAGAGGGTTGTCAGTAACTAGGTAGGGAGAGAAGGTTGTCAGTAACTAGGTAGGGAGAGAGGGTTGCCAGTAACTAGGTAGGGAGAGAGGGTTGTCAGTAACTAGGTAGGGAGAGAGGGTTGTCAGTAACTAGGCAGGGAGGGACTGTTGCCAGTAACTAGGTAGGGAGAGAGGGTTGTCAGTAATTAGGTAGGGAGAGAGGGTTGTCAGTAACTAGGCAGGGAGGGACTGTTGCCAGTAACTAGGTAGGGAGAGAGGGTTGTCAGTAACTAGGCAGGGAGAGAAGGTTGTCAGTAACTGGGCAGGGAGAGAGGGTTGTCAGTAACTAGGCAGGGAGGGACTGTTGCCAGTAACTAGGCAGGGAGAGAGGGTTGTCAGTAACTAGGTAGGGAGAGAGGGTTGTCAGTAACTAGGCAGGGAGGGACTGTTGCCAGTAACTAGGCAGGGAGAGAAGGTTGTCAGTAACTAGGTAGGGAGAGAAGGTTGTCAGTAACTAGGTAGGGAGAGAGGGTTGTCAGTAACTAGGTAGGGAGAGAGGGTTGCCAGTAACTAGGCAGGGAGAGAAGGTTGTCAGTAACTAGGCAGGGAGAGAAGGTTGTCAGTAACTAGGTAGGGAGAGAAGGTTGTCAGTAACTAGGCAGGGAGAGAAGGTTGTCAGTAACTAGGTAGGGAGAGAGGGTTGTCAGTAACTAGGCAGGGAGAGAGGGTTGTCAGTAACTAGGCAGGGAGAGAGGGTTGTCAGTAGCTAGGTAGGGAGAGAGGGTTGTCAGTAACTAGGTAGGGAGAGAGGGTTGTCAGTAACTAGGTAGGGAGAGAGGATTGTCAGTAACTAGGTAGGGAGAGAGGGTTGTCAGTAACTAGGTAGGGAGAGAGGGTTGTCAGTAACTAGGTAGGGAGAGAGGGTTGCCAGTAACTAGGTAGGGAGAGAGGGTTGTCAGTAACTAGGTAGAGAGAGGGGGTTGCCAGTAACTGGGCAGGGAGAGAGGGTTGTCAGTAACTAGGCAGGGAGAGAAGGTTGTCAGTAACTAGGTAGGGAGAGAGGGTTGTCAGTAATTAGGTAGGGAGAGAGGGTTGTCAGTAACTAGGTAGGGACGGACTGTTGCCAGTAACTAGGTAGGGAGAGAGGGTTGTCAGTAACTAGGCAGGGAGAGAAGGTTGTCAGTAACTGGGCAGGGAGAGAGGGTTGTCAGTTACTAGGCAGGGAGAGAAGGTTGTCAGTAACTAGGTAGGGAGAGAGGGTTGTCAGTAACTAGGTAGGGAGAGAGGGTTGTCAGTAACTAGGTAGGGAGAAAAGGTTGTCAGTAACTAGGTAGGGAGAGAGGGTTGTCAGTAACTAGGCAGGGAGAGAAGGTTGTCAGTAACTAGGTAGGGAGAGAGGGTTGTCAGTAACTAGGTAGGGAGAGAAGGTTGTCAGTAACTAGGCAGGGAGAGAGGGTTGTCAGTAACTAGGCAGGGAGAGAGGGTTGTCAGTAACTAGGTAGGGAGAGAGGGTTGTCAGTAACTAGGTAGGGAGAGAGGGTTGTCAGTAACTAGATAGGGAGAGAGAATTGTCAGTAACTAGGCAGGGAGAGAGGGTTGTCAGTAACTAGGCAGGGAGAAAGTGTTGTAAGTCACTAGGCAGGGATGGAGGGTTGTCAGTAACTAGGCAGGGAGAAAATGTCAGTAACTAGGTAGGGAAGAGAGGGTTGTCAGTAACTCGGCAGAAGAGCAGAGCTAACAAGCGAGCAGGTTGTTAGCTGCTATGTAATCAGTTTGTTTTCTCAGGTCATGGTGTGACAGAAAGCTGCAACATTTAGCTATGGGCCCAAGTGTTGTGAAGGTTACGTTCTACACGCTGCCTTAAGCTTTGTCCAAATGAACCTGCTTGTCTTGTAGAGTGGGGCATACCTGTGGTATCCTTGTAAGCAGATGAAGTGCAGTTAACATATTTACAATATTAAATAAAAATGAGGACCGTTTTAGCTAAAATATATATTTGAGAAAAAATTGTTAGAAATACCTCCTATAAACCCCAGATGAATTTCTTTCAGACACATGATTGGATGACCTTGAAGGTGTCACTCAGTATGAGCCAGGTGTCGGGTACACATTGTTACTAGAGTATTGCTTTAATTGAATTTGATGATCATGGCCTAATCTCTATCTTAGCAACTTTTGGGCTATCTCTGCCAGTTTATGGTAAGGGAAAATTATAAAATAGGTTCATATTTCAGGAAAATTCACAATAATCCACAATAGTATTTTCCCCTTTTTTCATTTCTTTATTTTGAATTGCTGGCTCTGTTTAGCTCACCCTAGCTTGGCTTGGATGAAGTGATATCAGTGGCAGCTTGGTTTGGAAAGGTATCCTCCCAAAATGCAGACCTCCCAAAACAAAGACCCGTTAAAACAACACTTGTTATGGTTGGTTGCATCCGTGATTAGTAGGCTGTACCCTTGATTACGAAAAATGGTATCACCCATGTAACGAGTTTTGACAATTTAGCAAGGGTATCTTCCCATAAGACAGACGTCCCAAAAGACAGACCACTTAAAACAACACATTTTATGGTTGGTTGCATAAGGCTTAATTAAGCTGTACCCTTGATAATAATGGTATGTGCCCTGATAAAAAAAGACAACATTAGGTATTAACTATAGTTTTATCAATTCATGTACAGGGCTCGATTTAGTGTTTTGTTACTGGTACAACGCAATATTACAAAGTGCAACCTAGTTATGAGTCTAACTTGCACAAGGTGCAAGTAAATTTTTTAGAAATAAATCAGTAATAAATCTAACATTATAAGCATAAATATGTCAGCAGCTCATTTTTCTTCTAAACTTTGAATAGCTAGGGCACTGAAATATTTCTATTCATATACACGTTTCGGTTATGACAGCTCTTGTAAACAGGGATCAGCTTATGTGCACTGAAACCTTTGACGTTTTAACACACTATGTTGTAACTGGAATTTGGCTGGTGCAACTAGGTTTCTATGTTAGGTTGCACCTGGTGCAAGTAGGTTAGTCTTTCTTAAATCGAGCCCTGATGTAATGAATTATTTTTTTAAATTAAGACATATTGCATCAACATAAATTTGCCAGATCATATTTACTTGTGAATATTATCAATAACAATAATTTATATACATGTACCTATGAAACATTTGAGACCAAGCCGTAAGTCCCAAAACATCAAAGTCAATTTAGCTCTACCAAACTTTTAATCGTAGTATATTTGTTATTTTTAATAATGGCTAAAATTCAGCATAATCGCCAGCAGCTGAAGGGTTGGTGTAAATCCTAGTATGGTGATCTACCTTCAGTTGTTGGTGATCTATAGCCCGTTTTTATTTTGTACTGTCTATACTGATTTGATTTTATGATAGCGTACTAGTTTTAAATTTATGTCTGTGATGCTCTAGTCTTTTTTCTGTCCTTCGATGACAGCTTTTTATGTTCTAAATTTATTGATTTTAATATTGATATAAATTAACTTGTTCTTGTCACGAGATGAGTCAAATGTTGCCGAGGTGACGCTAAATATTAACTCACTCACTCACTATGAAACCAAGCACCATATCATTTTATATCACATGTTTGTCAGTGCACACAAAAGAAGTACTCTAGAAGTACCTGGGCGCACCTTTCTGGGATGGGACATACTCTGCTCTTCTTAGGCCTGAGCC